AATCCTGGCTTATTATTGAATTTTTTTTTTTTTGAAGGCTGCTAGATCATGCAATCAACTTGAATTTAATGATGCAATGAATCACATGAATGAGATTTCTATAGAAGCTCATGATTGACTAATGGACATGCCTTTGGAAATGTGGTATAGGGTGGGATATAGTGAAACATCAAAGAGTAACCATATCACAAATAATTTGACTGAATCCTTTAACAACTGGGTTAGTCATTATAAGTCTAAGCCAATCTCGAATATGCTTGAGTGGATTAGAATTAAATTAATAGAGAGAATATAGAAAAAAGGTATCACAAAGATTTAGCTTGGAAGGGAAATTTGACACCAAATGCCTTGAAAAAATTAAACAAATCCATTCAAGAATCAAGATGATATAGAGTTTGTCCTATTGGGAAGAAGAAGTATGAAGTCCATGAAGTAGTGGGAGTAAGTGTGGTTAATTTAAACTTGAGGACTTGCTTATGTAGAACATGACAAATATCAGGGATACCCTGTAGGCATGCAGCTAGTGCTATTTCATGGAATAGATAGGACCCTGAGCTTTTTTGTGATCCTTATTACACCAAAGACACATATCTAATTGTCAAGAGTGGGATGATTCATCCTTTGGTGGATGAAAAGTTATGGCCAAAAAGTCCTTCAATTGACTCATATCCTCCTAAACCAAGAAGATTGACGGGTAGACCAAGAAAAAATAGAAGAAGGGAACAAGGTGAACCTACCTTTGCAAGTGCAGTACCTAAGAGATCATCAGTATTAACATGCAAGTATTGCTGGTCATAATAGGAGGACTTGCCAGAGAGCTCAAACATCAAGAGAAAGAAATGCAACAACAAGAGAATTTATTTTAATGGTGATTTATATACATTCTAATTGTTAATTTAGTGGAACATAAGGTCTCAAATTCAAGGATCAGAAGGAGCAGAAACTTCTGGTGTTACACAACATGTATATGCCTTTACTTATGTTCACTATAACAAATTTTCAATTCTATGATTACCCAATACTACACTTAACTATTTTTTAATTTTTTTCCAGTCCCAAACTGCTAGCAGAGGTGGAAGAAATGTAAGTGCAAGAGGTGGAAGAAATATATATGCAAGAGGAGTTTCTCAACCAAATGTGAGTGGCATGAGTGGTGGTTCTCAACCAAATATGAATATGAGAAGTTGTTCACAACCAATTCAGAGTGACAACAGAGTTGGAAGACAGCCAAACCAGAGTGGCAGCAGAGCTGGAAGACAACCAAGTCAGAGTGGTACTGATGTTAATCTTCCATCATGGTTAAGCAATAAATTACCTAATATTTATCCTGATAAATATTAATTTTATTGTTGCATTAGTATTCTAATACTGACTTTCAATTGCAGAGAGGGTAGCAAAAGCAGTACAAGGAAAGAACCATATAATGTTTATGTTGGTGACTCCTTTGGGTTTTATTCACCACACAATAGTGAGCTGGTTTTAGGATTTTTGTTGCTTTTGATGCCAATGTTGCAATGTTGCTTTTGTTTCTTTTCATTCCAATGTTGCAAGGATTGTATTAAATATTAACCTAGTTTGTTTGAAACTTGAAACTTGTAAGTTGTAGTTGACATTGGTTATTTATTATTATTATTATTTTTTTTTGTGATTTTTCAGTAATAAATGATGCTTGATTTGTGGTGGTATATGCATGTGCAGTGATAATAGATGAATGATTTTTTCTGTGGTAAATGCACTCAATATAGGTTAATATTCCTTGCATCACTTTATCAGAAAAAAATAGCAAAAACAGATAACAAGAAATAAGTAAATACAACTATCTTCAAATACAAAATAGCTGTTTCAACAACTTGTAACCTGAATCTATAGCTTGTCTCTGCAACCTCAATTCAGCAACAACCTCAAGCAGAAGTTGATTTGCAAGTGAATACTCCTTAGCAGCACCAACACCAGCAACAGCAACAGCAACAGAACCATATATAGGGTTACACTATTTCCAAAAACTACATGTTTGATTTTCACAAGTATAATACAACCTTCGTTTGTTGTGATTTTTATCATTCTCTGTAACATTCACTATAGCAAAATCCTGACAACGACAAATCTTGTTCATATACTGTATATAACCTCTGCCACTACCTTTGCGACTATTTATGCTTGATTGAGACATCAGTTTACATAGGAAAATATAAGAGAGGAAGAGAGGAAGATATTGTAATGAACTACAGCTGTTTGCTATTTATAGAGGTGCCAAACATGACCGTTGGAGAGTTAAGGGGCAATCTGGGCATTAAAATTGGTATATATGCTGAAGCCAAACATAACCGTTATTGTTTATAGCCAAACACAACCGTTGAGGGGCAATCTGGGTATTAAAACTTAATTTTTTGCTGATGTCGGCACAAAATGGCTTTGACCAGCTTTAACCGTTGACCGATGGGAGAGACTGATGTGTGTCAGAAAAAGTAGGGGGATTGACTGAATTTTTGCAAATGTGAGGGAGTCTCCTCGAAGATTAGACAAACCACAGGGGGTGTAACTGAATTAAACCCTAAATTATATAACTCACATGTATTGATTATCATGTATTTTTTTTTTTTTTGGCCTGGCAATAGAAACGTCCTACGGCATCTACAAGAAACAGAACAACAACACACAAACCATAACAAAAGCAAACAACAGAACATCCCAACAAAACAAAAAAACCACAAGACCACGTATAACCATAACAAAATTACAACTAAGCATATCCCACCACAGAAGATAAAAGTCAAACCCAAATTGTAAACTAGCTGTCCAAAGAGACTGCCAAGGCTCCAGCAAAGACTGAGAACAAGGGCCACGTGAACACAGATGAGCCCTATAAAGATATCGTGTCTTGCACGTACAAGCACCACTAACCACGACATAATTGCCTTTGACATTGTCACGTACCATGCATTTATATCACGCACATTCAGCAACATCATAACCCTGGGGTCTACCATCTGAAACCCAACAGTACAGCCTAAGAACCAAAAACGGCATTTGGCCGCAGAGTAATCAAACGGAGAAGAGCAAGAGAATGCCGGCGAGCCTCCGTCAGCATTAAATCCCTCTGCAACATAAAAACAACTGTGATCCCAAGTATCAGTATAGAAGCCATGCACCGATTATTTACTAGCGTGACAAAAACATTCCGACAACACCTTGCCACGACCCATAGGCCATGGCGCTCGGAATAAACACAGCTCGGATCGTCGCAGACAGAGGATGCATCAACCATGCTACAGAGATCCAGTCAACTTGCAAAAGCCCTAAAAGTCTCCCCAACTTCAACCCCAACAACTGATACGCTCCCAAACAAAATGAAAGGGGATACGCCAGAAGAAAGCTCGGAACGCAAAAGAGATGCACCAAAACACCACAATAGATTGAAGATTGAAGCATCAATGGCGTACCGGCGGGCAAAACATTCCGGCAACACCCTGCCACGACCCATAGGCCATGGCGCTTGGAATAAACACAGGTCGGATTGTCGCAGATAGAGGATACATCAACCATGCTATAGAGACCCAGTCAACTTGCAAAAGCCCTAAAAGTCTCCCCAACTTCAACCCCAACAACTGATACGCTCCTAAACAAAATGAAAAGGGACACGCCAGAAAAAAGCCCGGAACGCAAAAGAGATGCACCAAAACACCACAATAGATTGAAGATCGAAGCATCAATGGCGTACTGGCGGTAGGACTAAAAGCAACAACACCCAACCAGTCTCCATATTCCATGGCTAAGACTGCAATGCCTAGAAGAGATTGACCCGCCATGGAAACCCAAAGCAACATCGGGACTATACATAACCCAAAACAAAACATAGACCTAAGCAGAACTACAAGGAAAACCAAGGAAACCGACACAATACCGGAATCAAAGGGGAAGATCTGCGAAGATTGGCCGATTTGCGGACTACCGATCACAGCACTTGATCCGAAAAACCACAAAACACAGGAGACCAACCGAGCGGACCACCTGCAGAAACAACGATCTGGAGTTTTCAGGGAAGCCATACCAGCAGAACATAACAGATCGGAGAAAAAACTCTAATACACAGAGAACCATCTGCAGTGAGAGGACAGATGATAAGGCTGTTGTTCCTGCTGAGTTCAGTATGCTGACCCATACACATTGCACGTTATACAGGTAGTTATGTGTCATCATATACAAAACATACTGACGATCATGCATTGCAACAACTAAAATTTGTATATATATGATTCAAAAAAGAAAAAAAGAAAAAAAAAATACACGCATGAAACATTCATTGGGAATATACCCGGCTCAAAAGAATAACAAAATGGATGCGGGTGCTTATAAAATGACATTTTTAAATTAATTATTATATTTTTTTACTAAATTATTTTCATAGTTTTATTTCTAAAAATTTTGCAACAATGGGAGAAAACAAACATAATTTCAATTACTATTCAAAATATTTATATTTAAACAAAACGCGTACCAAATCTAACAAACATATTTTATATTTTTGCTTCCAATAATCTTACGACAAACTTAGACATGCGTTTTATTTTAGGCATTTTGTTTTTGATTAAAACAGAAATAATGTTTTTGCTGTAGGAGTATTTTGGAAAAAATTGAAAGTATGTTTGGGAACGATTTTTTAGGCGATTTGTTTTTGACCCGTGTTGCGCTAATGTTATGGCTTTGGGCCATAAACAGTTATCAAAATAAAAAAAAATAATTTTTTGATATTTTAATTTTGAGTCATCAGGAAATGCTAGCACTGTATAAAATAAAATAAAACAAAACAAGGTAGTACCAAATATCTTTTTGTTGCCAAAATTAATATTATAAAAATTCAAAAATAAAAATAACAGAAACAAAACGCCAAACAAGACCTTACCAAACAACATTCTACCATGCCTATTCAAAATACTGTTCGTTTCGTTTTTAGACAAAACGTAGTTGAAAAAGAGCCTTTAACCTTCATATATCACTTTGGGACACAGGATTACATTACAGTACTTGGTGATTAGATAATTAACAATTGTTAAGTGCTAGATTTATTCAAGTGGGACCCAGCTCCATTTGAAGCCCTAAAGCGGCATCATCGTCTTCGTGTTCTCTCTGCTCAGAGGGAGAGAGAGAGAGAGAGAGAATGGCGCAGATTCCTAACTTGGACAATGCCCCTCTCAATCTAACATATTTAAGGTATATATAACCGATTCATTGCTAATTTTGAATTTGATTACAGTAATTGTATCATTTTTTTAATGTTTTGTCAAATTTGTATGATAATCAGAGATCAATCTCAGAAGGAGCTCATTACTATTCTCAAGAACGTGAGTTCAATTTCAAAAAATGCATCGTGATTCAGTTCATATGTATATTTCACGTATTCCTTTTTTCGCTGAATTTCTTAAACTGTTATATTGTATATTTGAATTTGCAGAATCGAGGAAAAAAGTGTTTGGTTATAGACCCGAAGCTTGGCGGGTCACTCTCTCTGATCGTCCAGACCTCGCTTCTTAAGGCAATTCTCTCTCGAACTTGTTCTTGTTGCTCCTGTTGATTTTCAGTTCAGTTCTTTTCTTTGCCGTAGTGAGTTTGTGAGTTAACTGAATTTTTGGATAATTGATATAAAAATTTCAATGTATGCCTGTTAAATTAACTGAATTTTTGATAATTGATATAAAAATTTCAATTTACGGCCTCTTTTCCCTTTTTTATTATTATATATATCTTTTTTCAAGGAAAAGAGATTATCAAAAGTAGAAATATTATATAGATACATGCATACTATAATTTTATAAAAAGGGGAAGAGAGAAACACAAATGCTGTCAGATGGGAATTTTAGTTGATAACTTTGAGAAGTTACTGTTACTTGTGATCAGGAGCATGGGGTTGAATTGCGGTATCTTAGTGCGGAACCAATTCAGACTGAATGCACCAAAGTGATTTACCTTGTCCGAACTCAGCTTAATTTGATGAAGTTAATTAGCTCGCATGTTCATAATGATATTTCAAAGGGACTTCAAAGAGAGTACTTTGTTTATTTTGTTCCTCGTCGCGCAGTTGCTTGTGAGAAGGTAACCTTTCTTGGTCTTCTATCGGTTGGTACATTGTAAGATTTGATTTGATGACTAAAATCTTTATATATCTGTCGTTTGAACACACACTGTATGTGTCTATTTTTTCTTCTTATTTTGCAGATACTCGAGGAGGAAAAAGTTCATCACTTGTTGACTGTAGGAGAGTATCCATTACACGTAGTTCCTTTGGACGAGGATGTACTATCGTTTGAACTTGACCTTGCCTATAAAGTGAGGCTTGATTGCTGTTTCCTTGGAGATTTACAAAAAAAATATATTTCCTTTAGCTGCTAATGTCTTATTTTGGGGTGCTTTTTATTTGATAGGAATGCCTAGTAGATGGTGATACGAGCTCTCTGTGGCATATGGCAAAAGCCATTCACAAGCTTGAGGTTCATTATTTGTTTAATTGTAAAATTTAATGATCTATGTAAAGGCTATGTAGTACCCTGAATTTAATTTTGTAGTACGATAGCTCATATAGGGTGTTATAAAATAATAATATTATTACCATGCGGTTGCTGTATATTCGTATACTCTTAAATCATTTATGTTGTTCTGACTGCTATTATTCGTTTCTGAATTGCAGTTCTCTTTTGGATTGATACCCAATGTGAGGGCCAAAGGCAAAGCATCAGTACGTGTTGCTGACATTTTGAATCGCATGCAGGCAGAAGAGCCTGTCAACTTATCTGATGTAATTATATATCATCTAATTCCTTTTCATTCTAGCTTCAGAAATAGTCTGTCTCGGATATTAAAGTATCTTTGTAGTTTTGCAATAACAAATTATTTCTTACTTCAGATGGGTGTACCAGAGATAAATACACTTATACTCATCGACAGAGAGGTATTGTTTTCTTTTGTCCATTTCAGCAGAATAATTATGACTTATGAGTGAGCTTATATATAACCATGTTTATGCAAATTGCATTTGTTTCTATGTAGTCCATAGCTCTCTCAGTTTTTCAATAAAACTGCTTTGATTCTTGCAACAATATAGTGTATATTAATAATTGATTATCATTGAAAGGAGGGTGTAACATCTAGAAATAGTATGCTCATCTTTGGGGAGAATATAATGCAAATGGAGCTAAAAGTGGAAAAGGTTGCTAATTATAAGTAATGACATTCACATTTGATAGTAAAATTGCCGATGTTTATGCTAATATTGTTCAGTTTGGTTAAACCTGCATGTTTGGTTATATTTCATTTATTAAATCATGATTGGGAATAGGTGCTTAAGCTTAATGTTTGTTGAGGTTTTGCTTGACATGCTTCACAATTGCCTCCCTCCCCCTTTAGTATAGATCTAGTTTCTTTTGGTTTTATTTTTAGTTTTTATTCTTATTGGAAATGCAACACACGAAATCTTCCTTTTGCTCTCTCTCTGTCTCCTATGTTCCCCGATCATTTAAATGCTCCGACGTTTTAGCTTGCAAGTTTAGCCCTTAGCCTAACTCATAGAACATTCGAATCCTAAATCAAAGCCAAAACCTTGCTGCATCCAGTTTTGGTGTTGGTTAAGTAATGATCATACACCATATATATCCCATGTTTGAAATTAATAATTTAATTATCAACAGGCCTGTGGCCTAGCGGTACAAGGCTCCTACTTCCCAAAGGGAGGTCAGGGGTTCAAACCTCAGTGGAGGTAGTGTGTGTGAGTCCCAACTAGGAAAAAAAAAAAAATTAATTATCATTCAACGATATTATTATTATGCATGGTTGAGTGCTGGAGAACTATTTCCACCATAATGTTAATGTATTATTTGATTACTAAGTAGTCATATATTTGGCTAAACAATCGTTAAACTTGGTTGCAGGTGGACATGGTCACTCCTATGTGTACCCAGTTGACATATGAAGGACTGTTGGATGAGGTAAAAGCTTGTAAAAACAAAGAATATAATTTATCCTGATTATATATGAAAATTTGCAATTTATAATCTATATACCTTGAGACTGTAATAGAGGAGACAGGTCGGTCTAAATAACATATCTGGTAATTTATGGATGTAAGGCTTATATGGCTCTATCTTCTTGGTTATTCTTGTATTAGTTGGATTTACTCGATAGGGTTATGATTTTGCTATTAGTTTTTGAAATTGTATCTTCTCTGTCATCTAAGCTCCACTCAATGTTGTAAATTTTTAATATCTGGAATTGTTTTTTTCAAAAATTAGCTCCTTAAGGTAATAGTGCAACAGTTTCCAATTTTTTTTTTTGGGGTCAAAATTAGTGCCAGAAAACTTTAACCATTGTTGTCTCACATTGATATCCTAGTACTCTCCTGTTAGAGAATTAGTAGTGCCTTTATTGGATATATTTATTGATGATAAGAAGTGGTCAATTTTTTTTTACTGGATTTTGCCATAAGCGATCTCTAAAAGATTTGATGCAGTTTCTTCGTGTCAGTAATGGTGCTGTGGAGCTAGACTCATCCATCATGAGCGATAAGCAAGAGGGAAAAAAGATTAAGGTTCCACTTAATTCGAGGTGAACTGCGTCTTCGATTATATTATTTTGCCGTCACTTGAGGTTTTTTTTTTTTTTTTTAGCCATTTTTTTTTTCTTTTTTTCTTTATTTCTGTTGTTGTTGTTGTCGTTGTTGTCATTAATGCTCCGTTCCTTAATTTATGGGAGGCTACATAGTTGTTTCTTTTTGTCCTGATCAATACTTTTCCGTCTCTTCTACATTTCTTTCTGTTGTTAGATTTTGGCCTATGATTTCTTTAGTTGATGGGGTTGTTAACAATTTTATTATTCTTGGAACATTTTCTGTCTTCTTTCACCGTATTGACTTTCTTCTTTTATGCTTTGATACTAAACTTTCCTTTTTATAATTTTGTAATCTCGACAAGTAGTGAACATTATATCAGAAATTATGTGTTAAATGTATGTAAGTGGCATGCAATTAAAGCAAGGAGATTAATTACTCCTTGACTAAATTCCAAATATGCTGAACAAATAGCTGCAAGTCGTTAAGAGTTCAGTGTTATTATGTCAGTTATTTGAGTGATAGGTAGAAGGCCGTGTTTCTCATTTGAGTGATAGGTTGAAGGTTGTGTTTTTAGTGGATCTGAATAAATCTCGTTTGGAATGACTATCTCTCTTTATTTATTTATTTTTTATGTAGATGCCAATTGCTTGCCCCTTATTTTGTTTTTGTTTCCCCAATAGATATAATAACCTTATTATAATTTTGGGGCTTTGTTGATGTCTGGAGATGATTTGTTTATTTATGTTGAAATTTGTTTTATGTTTCACCTTGTTTCTTCAACTTTTAGCACATTGATTTACACCGTCATCGTACTTATTTCAGTGACAAACTGTTCAAGGAGATACGGGATCTCAACTTTGAAGTTGTTGTTCAGGTTGATCTATTTTTACCATGATACTTTGTATTCGTCTTTATGAACTTATCTTATATTTCTTTGTTATGGATTTTTTCATTTGCTTCTTAATTTAAGATCATTGCATTCTTTGGTGTTCCATTCCTTAGTTATCGTTTGCAGTATGGTTGCAGGTTCTTCGGCAAAAAGCAACATCCATGAAGCAGGACTACACAGAGATATCAAGTACTGTAAGTCACTAGTAGTCATTAGTTCAGCAATTAAGCACCCATCAATTTTGTCGCTGAGACTCAAGACCTTGGATATTTACCAAAAACTTGGAATCTGTGTTAATGAAACTTAACTTTGTGTCAAAATCTGTTCTGTTTTTAATTTTTTCTGTAATCACAATTTAAATATGTACTCATGATTGTTTTTTATCACATACTAAAATGTACTTGCATGAATGCCACCTGAGAAAGTATGATGAAATCGATCAGTTCTAATATTTAAAATGATGTTTCACCAAAGCATATCTCATTATTTTCTATGAGAATAAGTATTTTGCACTTACCTTCTTGGACAGTTAAATGATTGTGTAGAAAATTTCTAATGAATGCCATGTTTGCATGCAGACTCAAACAGTGTCTGAATTGAAAGACTTTGTCAAAAAGCTCAATTCTTTACCTGAAATGACTGTAAGTGTCTTCTTTGACTTTTATTTTGGAGTATAGACATCGTGGTGATTGTTTGAGTTGATAGTTGTGATGTGCTGTTTATTGCTGCTCTAGAGGCATATAAGTCTCGCTCAGCATTTGTCTACATTTACATCAAAACCAACATTTCTGGCGCGACTTGATATGGAACACACTATTGTGGAAGCTCAGAGCTATGACATGTAAGTTGAATTCGGTCTTCTTTAGAATTATGTTACTTTTTATGCTTCTCATGCTGTTAGGTCTTTCTTTAGAATTTACTTTTATGCTGCTTGTGCTTTTAGGATCTCTTATATCATGTAAATGGACTTAGAGGTGCAAAAGGACAGTATAAATTAGTATACATGGGTTCTGACGTTGGTCATCTAAGTTTGAATACTTTGTCAGCATCTTTGATTTTATTGCGACTAACTTAATTCTTGTGGCTCCAAAAGCATTTTTCTTCTGTTATTTGTCTTGTTAATTGGTAGAATGATTCATCTTTTTAAGTTAAATTGTTATATTCACATATTCAAGTTGTAAAGCCACTTCCTTAGAAAATTATCTTTCTGTAAACTGATTTATAACGTGATCATCATTTTTTTTGCAATGAGGACACGTGTGGCTGGAATATTTAGCATATTCTATCTAATTTCTCCACAAATTCTTCACATAAAACGAGGTTGAAGTGATTTTATTTGAATTTTTTTTTGTTGTTGGTGGAAACAGAATTAAATCTCATTCATCGCAGACATGGAGAACTTATTATTTTATATCCATGGTCTTAGGGTTAATTAATTAAGCACTAGTTGTAAATGTTTAATCCATCAAGCAAGCAAAATAGAAACTCGAAATAAATGTTCAAATCGATTATCTTGTATTCTTTTTGATTGATCTCAATCTTCTTCCTTACCATTATATTATATGATAGGTTTTAGCTGTTATATATTAGGCAGCATCAAGCATGACTTCAAAGAGGGAAAGAGAGATGATTGTCATATTTGTAAATTTATTAATGCAAATTTAATACTGAGTAGACATACAAGGTCTGCTATTGGTATCATAAATAAATGAAACATACATTTCTAGACAGTTTTAAAGATCTGAACATTAACAATATAATTCCCTGCAAATGGTTTGTGGCTCACATCTCACTTGATGTGGTGCTTATATATTATCCATAACTAGGAATGGCTTGTACTAATAGTTATGTCGACCTGTGTTGTTGGTATTCTCTGCCTATAGATTTTTTTTTTTTATTTTAAAATTTATGAGATTTTACTTTCTAGCTCCCTTTAAGTGATTACAAGGGTGGATTTTTTACTTCAAGCAATTATAACAATGTACTGCATTAGTAAGATATCAATTTTGATGTACTTCTATGTTATGTTTCTTGCTTGTCTCTTTTGCCTTCATATTTCAAGTTTTTTATTTTATTTTATTTTATTTATTTATTTTTTTTTTCAAACATATATTTAGTTTGGTTATAATACTCATCTGATATGATTGTTTTAGATCATGGAACTAATGCATGTTATGAATGCAGTTGCTTTGAGTATATTGAAGAAATGATCCATAAACAGGAGCCTCTTGTCAATGTCCTACGTCTTCTCATCTTATTTTCCATTACCAATTCAGGTCTACCCAAAAAGAATTTTGACTATTTGAGGCAAGTATAGTGCAGATGAATTTAATTTCTCTGTTGTTTCAGGGTGATATTTTGTAATTATGATGCTCTTGGCGTCAAAATTTGATGCAATTTTTGTGTCAACATCTTCCTGAATCTTTTATGCTTTTGCAACTTGATGTAGGAGAGAGCTGCTTCACAGCTATGGTTTTGAGCACATGGCCACACTGAATAATCTTGAAAAAGCTGGGTTGTTTAGAAAACAGGTTTAGAATCTTCTGGCTAGTCTTCATTGCATAGCATTCCTTTTTTCCCTTGCATGCTCTGGTTATCAAGTTCTGTAGCTCGTTGTATTTAGTGAATTTATTGTACTTCACTGGTGTGTTGCAGGAGTCAAAAAGCAACTGGTTGACGATTAAACGTGCTCTGCAACTTGTAGTTGATGATACCGACACAGCCAAGTATTGCGCTTTTCACACGATAAACTTCTGATGCTCTATTTCTTTTCTTCTTTCAGTTATAGAACGAATTTAGGATAATCTTTTAGAGACATAAGTGTTAAAAGATGGCCAATTTGGTGACTCATGGCCAACACTAATACATCTGTTATTTTATGGTTTAAGGTTAGTATACTCAATATGAAACGGGCTGCTACTCTGCTCTCTTAAGTTGTATTCCATTGCAAACAAAAAGTTTAGCTCATACAGTTGTAAGGATGCTGTCCTTAAATAGTCATTATCGGAATTCTTGATGTGGAAATGAAGTATCCTTGTTCCAGTTGACATACTTCCAAAATTTGCAATGCTTTTGAGATGAAAGCTATTGGGTTTGTCATCTACATTTACTGGAAAAAGGATTTTTTAAAGCAAATGTAACGTTTGGATTAGTGTCTCTTTTAGCTCTTATAAGAGTATAGGATGCAAGAAGTGATTCTTCCGTTAAAAACCCGTTGTGATGAATCTGAAAGAAGCTGGAACCTTATTCTCATGGTTCATCAAAGCAAAAATCCCATGTTTGACTTTGTGAGATAGATGTGGAAAGAGCTGAATAATTCTATTGCAAATGAAGAATTGAAAAAGATCATATGTAGGTAATTTTTCTTGGTGGTCAAAGACAAATAATAGTAGTTGGGAACTTGGGATAAAAGAAGCCTATAGATCGGATGGTTAAAATATCCATTTGTCTTCGTCCTTCATTCCTTTTTAAATGGGAAATGAAAATTTAGATAGAAAAAAGTTGTGGTGGAAGACATACTCTTAAGATTATCTCTGAGTTGGACATTTTATGTTTTAACCATTTCAGGATTACATCTTGCATTTAGATTTCAACAGGTTCTAATATGGAGTTGTTTTTTCAGCTTAATGGATCTAAAATAATTAGGTGAAGGAAGTTGGTTATTATCATCTCACAAAGCTTTCTAGTTAGACAAGCATTAAGTTGGATGATTTTCCCTCTATTCTATCTGTTATCACTCCAATCAGATGCCAATAGCCTACAACCTTCTACATATTTGTATACTTGAACCCCAAATCTTCTCCTTCAAATGCAACCCGAATGAAAGAAACACAAAGAAATAAAATTAGTAAACCTCATGGGGCACGAAAACCTTAGATTACAGAAAGCATAATGGTAGAACTCATAGATTTCCTAATACACTCATCTTAAATGAGGCACTTCTTATGGGAAGGGAGTAAGCTTCATAGATCTCCTAACACACTCATCTTATATTTTCTATTAGAATGATATAACCATCTTGTTTCTCAAGATCCCACTGATACCAAGCTGACTCCTATTCTTTTAAGAGCATTGCCAAATTAAAATGAACTCGACTAGATGAGAAGGAATCCAAGCTGTAAAATGGTTAGTTTTGCTGGGGACAAAATGTGTTGCTTCCTACAATCTTGGAGACGTAGAGGAAAACTTATATAAGATTATGCCCATATATGGACAACAACCAAGCGGTTTTCTTCTAACTTTTTCTTTATTTATTTTGTTAATTTAATCCAACAGTGGAAAGGATCTGTCAATTGCGACTGTTCCTTTCAAACCAGATTAGCCAGATTGAAGCCATTTGAATCATTAAATTGGTTCTGGCTAGACTCTCAGTAGTCCAGTAGTCATTTTATTATTATTTTTATAATAAACTTATTTGTGTTGCTACTTTTAGATACATGCTGTTGAAGATAATTTTGCCACATCTTAAATTTCACCTGCACCATACGATATAAAATGACTACTTCGAATATCATATTTGAGTCCTAACAATGCTGTTGAATTTTAGAAGTTGTTTAAGGATTTTAATGCTATTTCTCATCTTATTTACAAAACCGAATACGGTTTGCTGAATTCACAAATGTGAATTTAGATTTATTGACAATTCAAGGATAAATAAAGCATTCAAAGCGCGTGAAAATGAAGGATAATCTTCATAGGTTACATATATTTCAAAAGATAGTTTTTTCAACTGTTCTTATTGTCTTGCTTCTGATTTGCTGATTGATCTCTTATGTAACAGCCCCAATGATATTTCCTATGTCTTTTCTGGATATGCACCTCTCAGTATTCGCCTTGTGCAGCATGCAGTTCGATCTGGATGGTGAGTTAATATTTTAAATACAAGACTTCATATTCGTTATTGCTGTGAGCATGCCAGATTATCGTATCTAGCTTTTGTTATTCCTTCATAGGGGCCATTGGTTGGTGCAAAGGTGTTGGAGTCCATTGGTCTCCACTTAGTACAAATATTGCCAAAGGTTTGGTCTATACCTAGTCATCCCCTCCTAGCACTTGAGGACTTGCACTGGGTTATAGACTTTTTTTCATCACATTCATGAATTTTTAAGTTTTAGATGTGCAGGGAATTTTGTGTTAACTACTTTCGTAACCCATAAACAAAAAAAGAAACATGGTCCTTATGATGTGATTCAAATAGGTTTAACTGAAAAAGGGGCAATAGGAACCCTTTATTTCTTGATTGAATATGTGTTCATCATACATTTTAGGCCTGCATGTGAGAACTGAGAAGATTAGGATTTTCACTAGGGGTCCCGACCCTACCCGAACCCAACCCGGTTTATAATGGTTCAAGCCTGGTTCCAACCCGAGGCGGGTTGGGATCAGGTTTGGAATTTTTAGCACAGCCCCATTTCGGGTTGGGCTCGGGTTCTAACCCGAGCTCAATCCAAATTGCATCTATATATATTATTGTATTATATTTCCCTCGCCGTCGCTGCTATTGTCATGGCCACCATCTCGCCGCTGCTGCTTTTATTGTCGCCGCCATCTCGCCGCCGCCATACATCGCCATAATCTTGCCGCCCTACAGCTATAAATCTCCCATCTCCCTCCTCATCCTCACTTCTTTTGCTTAATTAGATCAAGTATGGCAACTCAAAGAGCAGCCCTAATGCAACAGCCACACACAGCTTTGACAAAACCCTCAGCATAACCAACCACTCACGACTGCTACTTTTATTCTCCATCACCACCATCCTTCTCTACACCACAGTCAGAGAATCCTAAACCCCTATTTTACACACACACACACACACTTATCAAATACATATTAAGCCTCCCAAAATTTTGAAATTCCTAGGGCCGAATCTCAAATTGAAGTCTTTTAAGTTTTATTTTTGGAAATCCAAATTTATATATATATATAAAAGTAAATATAAGCCTTATTTTTATGGAAAATGCCGATTTGTGTGGCCTATTAATTTTTATCCTTTGATATTAGTTGATGGTACCCAAATCTTCTCATTATATTACTATTTTTGAACTCTAGATTTTTTGTCCACTTATATATAAAAGTATATATTGACAATATGGTATATGTGTGGATATATATACATAGAGCCCCTGCCGGGGGGGGGGGGGGGGGTGTTTTGACCTGGACAACCCAACCGACCCGAATGTATTCGGGTTGGGTTTTATGGGTTGAAACCCGAATTCGGGTTACCTCCGGCCGGCCCAACCAAACTCGAAGTCGGGTTCGAGTTGGGCAGGCCCAAGTTGCACCCCTAATTTTCACCTTGAATTTTTAATTTTCCTTTGGTCATATGTATTTTTATGTGGGAAGTTGCCAGTTGCACTTTTCATTCAACATTATTCTTACTTCTCAAGTTCTGTTATTTTCTTGGGCTAGCTTTTTTTTTTTTTTTTTCCTAGTTGTCTTGGCTAGCTTTCTATATGTACAATGTACTTTTCGTCGTTTCATTGTTCCAGATCAAGTTAAGTTGGGTGACAGTGTTGAATCGGTGACTATCTAGTTTTGGTTTTTGGTTTTTTTTGAGGTGGTTTTTCAATTGTGGTGTGTCTAAAATGTAATTATCTTTGAGGGTGTGTCCGATAGCTCTTGCTGTGGTTTTTGTTTTTGCCTTGCTGGGCCTTGTTTTTGTTTGGCATTTTTGTTTTCAGATTTTTCTTGGGCTCTTTTGTGTAAATTCTCTTCCTTCAAATTTATTTATATACACAATCAATCCAAAAAAAAAAAAATAATAAAATAAAAAATCATCTGGTATTATTAATTTCTAGCATAAATTTTTGTTTTTGTTCATTGCTGCTTTCATATGCATAGTGGCACATGAATTTTACATAGTGGGACTATTCTTTATTAAATGTGGACAATTGATTCATCAGGCGTCCTATTGAAGAAATATTGAAGCTTTTGCCTGGACCACATTCAGATACAAAGAGAGTTAGTATTCTTCTTTCTCCCCTCCTGTTTTTTCCCATTGCACACCATTGCTTGTTACCCGTGTCTTCTTGATTATACGGTGGTACTGTTTCTTAATTTTTTGATATGCAATCATAACTTTATAGAGCGGATTTGCAAGCAGTCCATCATTTGACAATCTGCCAGGGGATCAGTCCAATGTGGATAGGTACGCTGCATTAACTGTTCAAATTTATAGACTGCTTTGTATATATATATTTTTCCCTAAGAAGATACAGAATCATTGTCATTGCTGAAAAATAATACAAGTATGAGAAAAGGCCATATATATTTCTAGACTTGGTGATGGCACTTGAGCCCTTGTTTTATAAGGTTGAAGGAAAAAAAAAGAAAAGAAAAGAAAAGAAAAGAAAAGAAACGAAGGGACATGAGCACTTGAGCATTAAATGCTTACTTAAGTGCAATATTGTACACCCTCATCTTTGGTCGTGTCAAATATATGAAGGTATTGGTGGAAGCAGCAACATGGTGTTGAAATTACATTGGTTGTGGCAATAATTGTGGTGGTGTCAGGAACTCCTCATGGCTTACCTTTTTAAGTTACAACATGATTTTGTTTCACATTTCACTAGTATTGAATGTCCTTTTAGAAAGAGAAAACGAAGGCTTGTTTTTCATTTCTTTTATTAGGATACTTGTATGCATGAAATATGTTTTTTTATTTTATTTTATTTATTATTATAGCTTTAAATGGTAGTGGATTTTTTCGAAAGGGTGTTTCCTACTTTTATTACAGGTCTTTCTCTATTCTCTTCTCCGCGTATAGTGACTGATGGAATGAATAGAGAGCTGCATAGCGAATGTTGAAAGAAATATAGAAACTGTATTTCTATGGATGCATCTAAATGGGTTCTAAAGTCTTCTCTTTCTGGATCCAAAATATGAAATGATCCTTTTGCATTTTCCTTTTTATCTGACACCTGTTGACATACTACAGAGTAGGTGACGGAAGGCGCTCAATAGTACTAGTTGTTTTCATTGGAGGGGTAACATTTGCGGAGATTTCTGCTCTCCGTTTTCTTAGTGCTCAGGTACATTCATAGTCTCCAAGTACTGTAATGCATCAACTACCTGAGTTTCTGTTATTTTTTATTTTATATTTTTTGTAATGGTCTATCATGCTATGTTGTGTATAGTAACATATACTTGCACATTGTTTAAGGATTTCATATAGCGGTCCAATTTCACACCCTCACACTATCTAGGCTGAAGAAAAACAGGTTATTTTAAACTAAAAAAAATACTTGCTCGTCTGATTTTTGGCAAAACCTAATGCGTCATAGTTCAAATGCTCAGTCTGATTTCACAAGCTTTTCTTTGTGCTGATTTCTATTATACCATGTGAAAGAAAGCGGTTGCCATTGATGTGAATATGTATGTATTTAGTAGGATTTGATTTCATGATGAGACAGTCAACCAGTTAGATGAGACTGTAGTCTGTTTGTTGCAGGAAGGGATGGCATACGACTTGATCGTTGGCGCAACGAAAATTGTCAGTGGCCATACCTTGACTGAAACGTTCATCGAGAAGTTGGGTGGCTGAATTGTAAATATCGTTCTGTTCATCGGAGAGTTTTGTGGCTTGCATGACATAATAGTAGGTTATTTGCTCTAATATTTAGTCTACTCTGGTTTTCTTTTGTGATTAGCGATCTGTCTTATTTTATATTTTCCTACATTACTTTTATATGGCTTCTGCAGAAGCAAATGTTATCGTTTTTGTTATTTGAGGTGATTTTTTGTTTCACGAACATTTGAACTGTAAATATCCATTTATTCATTCATTTCATTTGAGAAAGTGAACAATCTGAGTGATTCTTCACCGGCCTATTATCTCTCCATTTTAGGGGTTAGAAATATGTGCTCCTATTTGTTCTCATCTTTCCACTCTAATCGATATAATTTATACGAAATTTAGATCCAAATTCAAGCCGTTGATTCGGTGCTCCCATCCCAAACATAGCAAAGGACTAATTGGGCATTCATTACTTGGACCGCTTCATCTACATGCTTGAATATATGCAAATTTGGTCTCTGCAGACTTTTTGGATATATGCTGTTTTTTGGATATATGCTGTTTTGGACAATCTTTGTGTATATATAGGAAACTGGTTGCATTACTGTATAAATTTTTCCTAAAAAAAGAAAAGAAGAGAACAGCAACAATGGTGAATTAGTGGAATGCTTAAGTAACAAAATTTCAGCCTCTTGCCCATTTTAAAATCGTTCCGGATATGGTACGATCTCTCTTCCCTAAAAGGGTAGGCCGTTCGAAATAAAAAGTTGCTCGCCCAGTGTGTCCATTAAGCTCTTGATATTGAGATAATATGCAGCCATGATCAGACCAATGTGATCCTCCTGGTATCGTTCTTGGAATCAAATTTCTCGACTTCATCTGCTGTTGCTCCTTGATCTGCATGCTTCTTGCGGTACTCGATCACCGTGACCAAAGTCCTGCCGTCCGCGTGTGGCAGTGGAATTGTGGTCCCGGCACAGTTGTTCTCAACCATGCTCTTGATCGTCAAGGACTGGACGGCGACGGAATCTTCCACCGTGAAATTCTCGTTGTCTGAGCTCCTCAGTGTCAACATATTCTCAGCTATGAATTTATGCAGATGAACCTAGATAGAGTTTGTAAATATGCTTTTTGTTGTGAAAATATGAAAGACTAGTTGTATCTAATCTAGTCTCTGTCAGTGCCATCGAATAATGTGTAATCACTCTCTATTAGGATTTGCATCTTTAATATATTAGAATTAGGGTTACAAATTGACAAAACGTTTAGTTATAAGTTATGTTACATCGAGAACCCTAGTTAACTAAACAAATGTGTGCATAGGTATAGGAAACTGATTGCATCAGTACTATCTTAGATATTCTTAAGAAAAGAAAAACACAGAAACGTGTGAATTAGTGGAATGCTGAAGCATTCTGTTAACAAGATTTCATCTTCTTGCCCGAGGGTAAGTCAATGGGTTCCGAAATAAAAAATTCATCGCACATGGTGTGCAGCAAGCTCTTGATGTTGAGATAATTTGCCGCCATGACCAGATCAAAGAGAGCATACTGGTTTTGTTCAACAAACTCGGAATCGAATTTCTTGATATCATCTGCTGTTGCACTTTGATCTGCATGTTTCTTGCAGTACTGTATTAGCATTACCGAAGTCTTGCTGTCCACGTTTGGCAGCGGAATCGTGGTGGTCCCGGAGCAGTTCTTCTTCTCGATCATGTTCTTGATCGTCAAGGACTGGACGGCGACCGACTCTTCCACCGTGAATTCCTCGTCGTCTGAGCTCTTCAATGTCAACATATTCTAAGCTGACGATGACATTGTAAATTTGGTATATGAAAGAGTAGGTCTGTATCTAATATCTCTCACTTTTTTTACGGAATGGTTTACAAATATATGTAGGAACTGCTCTTCTTATCCTTGGAGTAGGATTCGTTTGCCAGCTGGTTTCTTTTTTCTTCTTTGTTACTTGTTATTATTATAATTCCCTTATCTTTGTCACTAATCAAAAAATTTGTTGATATATATCTTTATTATTATTATTATTTTTGAAATTTGTAGACCATTACACTCCTTAGTTGGTTATTGATTAATTATATTTAGACAGTTTATTTCTTCTATAATTATTGTGACATTGTCAATTATAAATATTTAAAGAATTAAGGGTATTTTGGACCATAATTTTACAAGTTGTCGTATTTGTAATTAGTTTTGTTTAGTAGCCAGCTCTTATACTTGATTCTTTTTCGTATTTGTAATTATAACCTCAAAACTAGTTTTGTTTGTATGTTTGTGAGCCTGGCCAATCATTCTCTGGTTTGCTATTGCTAGCCTTGTATTCAACTTTAACCTTCAAAAAAAAAAAAAAAATAAATAAAATGATCATCAAATTTTTGTTCTTTTTCTTTGTTATGGGATTGATTGATCTTCCCAATCATAAAAAATTTACTTTTTTATGGAACATAGTACCGTAACAACAACCAAAATTAAATCAAAATAAAACTAAACAAATCTTTTATTTTATAACTCAAAGACCATTTACAAAACACATTTCATTTCATTCTACTCCTTGCTAAAAGCTAGGGACATCACAGACACAGGGACTCCTTTATTATTAGGCTTTCCTGGAGGGTCCAAACATCATGCATTATAAACTTATAGATCATTTGAATCTATAATTACATGAATACAACACTTTAGTCGTACAACACATAAATAATCCTAGTAAATTATCAAAAACAATTGATCTTCATGCATCAAAAATAAAATTTATTAACAACGTACAAACTAAATCACGATCACACCTCGAATGCCCAAGCATACTCCCTCCGAATCTCCTCCTCCTCCTCCGGTGTCAAGTCATTTTCGATGTTGAATATCTCCCTGACCTCCTCCGGCATCATATCTTTGATATTGTCAGCAATCTTCTGGCAAGTCAAGTCCCATAAATCATGAGTGTTCAAGTAGTCCGCGGCCTGAACAAGCTGGAAGAGTTCCGGTATAGGTTTTTCTATGAACTCGGCATCAAACTTCTTTAAGTCTTCCTCCGGAGCCTTTGAGTCCGCGTGCTTCCTCCAGAACTCGATGATCATTTCCAAGACCTTGGTGGTCACGTTTGGCAATGGAATGGTGGTCAATTCACACTCGTCCTCGATCATGTTCTTGATGAGCTCCGACTGGATGGCCAGTGACTGCTCCACGGAGAATTCGTCCTTGTCAAAAGTTGTCAAAGTTAACATATTTTCTGATGGTTCAGACATGATGATTTTTGTTGTGCTGAGAATGAGCCTAAAAGTTTGTTTGTTTTTGTTTTTTTGTTTTTTGTAAGTTTGAGAAAAGTGAGAGGAGAGACTTGGTTTTGAAGAAGGTTGAAGAGAGTTGGCTATATATAAAGCGTTTATGTGAAGGGAAAGGTTTCATATTTTTGTGAAGTATTTAGTTATCCTCTCACAATCCGAAAATAGGGGTGTCAATATGTGAAAGGACATAAGCTGAGAATTAGATACATGAAAACCACAAGATATCCAAAGAATAAGCATTGAAGAGAATGGGTCAAACACTTTTCAAACAAAAGCACAATTTTGTTTACAAAACTACGAAAGTAATTATTATTATTTTTTAAAAACATTTTTTTGTGCTCGAATGTTGATATGTGGGATTTGGATACATGTCACTTCATCATTTGCATATATGAGCATCTCTGATCGCTGCTCTATATATATATATATATATATATATTTTGTGTGTAAATCTAATATGTCGTGATAGATTTACATAAAAATTTTAGATTATTTATTTTTAGCTCAAACAGTTGTTTTATATCTTTTGTGTAAAAATATATCCATCAATAACAACTAACCACGTGTTATGCGGACCCACATAATTTTTACAAATCTACTTAATATGAAATTAATTATTTAGTGGAATGAGAAAGAGGGAGAAGAAAGGAAATATGCTGATGTGAAAAAAAATTACACATCATACGTGGCAGTGTATATTTTACGCAATAGTATATTTTAACAGATTGGAGATGCTCTTAATGTGGTGTTTTTGTAGCTATTGTCATCAACACATAAACTATCTTGACTTAAATGGTAAGAGTGTAAGACACGAGGGATTAAATCCGTTGCCTATTAGAAAGAAAAGAAAAGAAAAAAAAGGAATTGATCTATGAAAAACACAATATTATATGGCTGATCAAATTCAATTGATTGAATGAATAAAATATCATCAAATTTAATGACGTTATATAACATATAATTCAACCAAACAATAATTTTCTGAAAATTCTAAGGCCGATCAATGAGGTGTTTGCACATACGTTTCTTTTGGAAAAATATATTCATGGGACATGGCTAAAACTCATCAAATTTAAACGATTGCAATGTGTTTAGGTGAGATTCACAATATATTGACCCAAATTCTAATATGTTATGAACTATAAAATCAATTATTGGGGTGTCTGGACTTTGCGCCAACTAATTTATGGACCATATAACATGTCGGGTAAATTTTGGACTATATCAGCAGACATGACTCTCAATTGAAATTGTTTGCAACTAAGAAAAATCGAATAGGAGACCTAAAATTTCATGAGGAGGAACTTGGGTCCAAGTCTTTTTTTTTTTTTTTTAACTAGACCAACCTTGGGATTTGTATGTTACAAACATTTCCACGTATGAACTATGACTTCCTTGTAAGGAGACATGGGGGATGGGGATTACCGGTTGTTTTACCTGTAACATCAAGTTTTGTACATAGCTTTGTGCATAGATTGTTTTCTTGTTTCTAACCTGTGACCCCATATATCAAGAAGAAGTGTAGCCTTTTAATACTCTGAATTTAATATATGAAATCTAATATGCGCACTTGAAAGGAAAAAAATTATATCCATAATTTTTAAAAAAATAGAGAAGATGCATGAATCCTTTTACTTGAGAACCTAAATAAGGTTTTATTTTATTTTATATATATTTTTTGTTTAGTGGGTAAGCTTTGAATAAATAAAGAGGAGAATGTACAAGAGGTCCAACTAAGGGTAGCACAAGCCAAGGCCAGCAAGACAGCCTAGTGTCACGCCCCGCCTATGGAGGTTATGCTACGCAGGCGACACGCAGACGCTGAAGAGGACGCTGCATGGCAATTGCATGGCGAGTGGAGTTTCTAGAGTTTTCTGGAGTTGTCTAGAGTAGTGTGGAAGATTCTAGATATGTGTAGTATATTCTAGAATTCTTCAGAATTGTGTGGAGTAGTATGGAGAGTTCTAGAATGTTGTAGATACTTGTAGATAAGTATGGAAGTGTGAAGAAGGTGGGAGAAGATTCTAGAGAATCGATCTCCACCATCGGTTGGAATGCATCCTAGCCGTCCATTAGTGATGGGGATGCCTATAAATAGGAGTGGGACTTCATTTTGTAGACAACAAGTTCTGGAGTGAGTCTTGAGAGCCTTGTAGAGAGTTTGAGTGCTAGCCTTGTACAAAGTATTCTTTGAAACAATAGAAGTGTTCTTTCCTTGCCAACTTAAGTGCCTCAGTGTGTGTGAGTGTGCAAGCCAAGTGAAGAGAGGGCGAGGGCCACTACAACACTAGTAAGCACACGAGGGGAGTGTGTTGGCTAAGGTGTGCACGGGAGTTAGGCTGACTAAGTACTTGCGAAAGCAGAAACAACGTCTTTGTGCCGCACGAGAGTAACTAGAGTGGTGCTGAAACTCTAAGCTCATGACACTAGGCTGTCGCAAGACCACATTAAAGGTCATCAAGAAAAAATAAACAATACAATACATTACAAAACTTTACAAAGTTCCCTAACTTGAAAACTGTTCCATCATCGAGCTGCACCAGTGTAATAAGTAGTAAGTAACACTAGAAGTCCATAAGCAAGGAAATTTCAGTAGTAAGTAAGCTGCACCAGTGTAATAAGCAGACACAAGTGGACTCAAGGAAGTAGCTACAGAAATCAATGAAGGACTAGTAATGAAATTGCACAAGTAGAATAGGCAGACAGTAGCAGTAGAAGTCAATGAAGAACCAACAGAAACCATACTCAAAGCAACACCATTGAACCCTGCACTAATAAATCCCTCAGTACCACCATCCAAACATCAAAACCCATGCTAATCCATGATACGCCATGAGTGTCCTCCTGCAAAAGAGCAACCCCGCATAAATAGATGATGGATATCTGCCATAGAGTCCATCTTCCTAAACTCATTATTAGTTTTCAGTATGATAGAGGCAAATCTATCTCTAATTGTGCTCTTGATAAGGATTATGGTGTGTTGATCAGGGGATGAAGAAGTGTTCCTAAATGCCCTTGCATTCCTCTCCAGCTAGATGTAGTAAATTGTAGTTGCTAGAAGAAGCTTATGCGTGATGTTATATCTATGTGTCCAATTACTACTGCACCAGGTAATAAGATCATTCCAAGTGTTGGGTTGAATGGAAACCAGCTGTGTGTTGGATGAAATCCTAAATGGCAGAGCTGTAAGTGCACTTAAAAAAGAGATGATCAAAAGACTCCTAATCTAAAAGGCAAAGGTAACAAGCATTTGTGTAATGTTTGTTCAACATTGGTTTGGTGTTTAAGGTGTACAATCTCTTTCTCATTGCCAGCCATGCAATGTGACTGTGTTTTGGGATATGGTGTTTAAACCAAATTAGGTGGTGCCAGGGAAAAACAATAGAGGAAGGGTTGAAGTACTCCATAGTGTGCTTCTGTGTGAAGCCTTTTGTAGGACATGGTAGCCAATCCACCAAATATGGGACCAATGATGGAGAGGGAGAGTTTGCAACTGAGTGGTAAATGACAGGGAGTGTTAGGAAAGGTTATGTTGAAGGTCAAGTGGAATGACCCATTAATTGTTGAAAAATTAGACTATCAACTGTGACTTGTGTGCCCAGTTAAAGAATTTCCACATCAGTGAGGCCTAACTGAGTGGATAGTGGGCCATTTGGCAACCAATAGTCCAACCAAAGCTTTGTATCCTTCCCTGTCCTTATTCTATGCTTTATAAGTCCCCTGGCCATATCCCTAAGTTTAAGCAAATTTCTCCAAAACCCTGAACTTAATGTAGAAGCCTTGACAGTCCAAAAAGATTTGTTCTTGATCAGGTACATGTATGTCTAAGCCACCAGAAAGCTATCTTTCATAGCACACACTTTCCAGATGAATTTGAGACCTGAAACTCTATTGGATAAATCCACACATGGGAATCCAAGTCCCCCAAAGATCCTTGGTTTGCAAATAGAGGACCATGCAACTTTGGCCCTTCTTTTCTTCAATTTTATACCAGACCAGTAAAAAGATCTCAAAATCTAGTTGATTTGATCAATAATCTTCATTGGGAGTCTAAAGGCATGTGCCCAATAAGCTTGAATGGAGTAAAGGATTGACTTGATGAGGAATACTCTCCCTGCATAGGATAAAAATTTGGATTTCCAACAATTAATTCTTGCTGTAATTCTCTGCTCTAGGGATTGACAATCAGTGGCATTAATTGAAGAGGAGAATAGAGGGAGCCCAAGATAAGTGATTGGAAGGGTTCCAGCCTCAAATTGTAACAGTGAGAGAATAGCAGCTCTAGAGGTACCATCAACACCAAAGAAAAATACTTGGCTTTTGGGCAATTAATTGAGAGCCCGGAGATGGTTAGAAACTTACCAAAAGCAGAATGAAAAACATTAACAGATGTAATACTACCATGAGAGAAGAGGAGGATATCATATAAAAAGGCAAGATGTGAAATAGACAGCTTTCTACACCTCCAATGATACTTAAAACATGGGTTAACTGAGATAGCAGAACTAAGAGACAGAGATAAGACTTCCATAGCCAGCACAAACAGCAAAGGTGAGATGGGATCACCTTGCCTAATGCCCTTTTTACCCTTGAAGAACCCAAACAATTCCCTATTAAGTGAAATGGAGTAAGAAGGTGTAGTGATACATTGGCCAATCCAATGAACAAAAATATATGCTAGGGAATCCAAACAAGTGAAGTGTGTCAAGGATAAATTGCCAATGCAGAGAATCAAATGCCTTTTTTAGATCAATTTTAAGAGTAAGATGGTTGGTCCTATGATACCTATTAAGAAGATCATGAGCCAAAATAATGTTGTCAGTGATTTATCTATCTTTAACAAAAGCATTCTGTGAGGGATTAATAATAGAGGGAAGGACAGTGCTAAGTTTGTTAGCAATGAGTTTGGAGATACATTTATAAAGAAGATTATAACATGAAATAGGTCTAAAATCACTGACACATGAAGGGTTAGGGATTTTAGGAACCAAAGCAATATAAGAACTGTTTAACTCATAAAACATCCTCCCAAATGTACTAAAATAAGTTGCTGCTACTAAAATTTTCTATTTTTTAGCGAGAAACTCATTCTCTTTCTAATTAGAACTCCACTTGACTCCAAGAAAAAAGAAAAAAGAAAAAAAGAAAGGTGTTTGAAAAGAAATTATGGATATTATGGATGGTATTTATAATATCCATAATTTTTCCACTGCACTTGTTTCTTCAATCAATCCTACAAACCAATGCAATAAGTAATTATTTTTTTTTCCTGTAAATAAAAATTTATAGAGATTGATGAATATGAATTGTTTCTCATGCACTGCACTTCTCTTTCCTGGAAAACAATTCCACTAGTAATTCATACTGAAGAAAGAAAAAAAAAAAAACACGAAGAAGATAACACCATATATTATATTAATTATGGTAAACCAAAATTCAAAATAAATACTTACTAAAAAAAAAAAAAAAATCAAAATAAACCTAGAACTTCACATGAAAGTCTAAGAAAAACTCATTACTACTATATATTTAGGTTTAGCTAGAATCCTAGAAGAACAAAAATCACCATCGTCCAACAAACAAACAGCAACAGAATCACTCTTCGAATGCCCAAGGGTACTCATTGCGAATTTTCTCCTCTTCCTCAGTAGTGTAATCATTCTCGATATTGAATGTCTTTTGAATCTCCTCCAAACTCTTATCTTTGATATCGTTTGCGACTTTCAAATAGATGGCTTGCAGTGAATCCTTAATTTCTAGATGGTTTGCAACCACCGTGAAGTATAAGAGCTCTTGTCCACAAACTCACAATCGAACTTTTTTAGGTCATCCTCGGAAACTTTTGAGTCTGCATGCTTCTTCAAGTACTCTATGATATTGGCCAAACACTTTCCGGTGATTTCCGGTAAGGAGACCGCGGTGGAGTCTTCCTCCGCCTTTCTCTTGATCAGCATAGACCGTAGAGCAACCGATTCTTCCACCACAAATTCCTCGTTATCAGAGCTCCGCAGTGTAAGCATCTTCTCCTTGTTTGAAGATGAAGACATGGTTATGTGTGTGAGTGTGTGTGTTTTTGCAAATAACACAAGGAGGTTTGGCTAACTTATTTATAAGTTCTAGGTTGGTTTCTTGGAGGCTAATTTTATAGTAGGGTTTGGAAATATAGTCAAAATCGGATTAGTCTATGTTAATATTTTTTTTTTTACTTTTTTCTTTTTACATTATAATTCGGAAACAAAAACCAAATTGATATATAGCTTGGCTTTATAAATTGATGAGGGACCAATTAAGTAAAAATTATGATTGTTTTATTTAAAATCATTTAGATATACAGTATTGTTTCTTAATTTAATTATTACATAATTTATGGGAGCTAGGAAACTAAAAAAAAAAAAAAATAGGACTTATGGATTAACTTCAAAAACGCTTTTATCAATAAGCTATCATATTATTTATTTATTTATACTATTTTTTTTATATGTTTAGGTAAATGGGTAAGTTGTTTTATTATTATAATTATTAATTATTAATTATTTTTAGGTAAATAAGTAAGTTGTATAAATAGCGGTCCATTCGAGGACAAGACATTGCAAAAAAACAGCCATTGTAAGGTTGTATCCTCAGTCCCTGAGCCAATTATGTCCATGAGCTTATAAGAGACTTCCTACAAATTAGCTTTCTGTTTGGAAATTAGGTGAGTTAAACTTAAGCTCCCACACAAAGTGTCTTTACCAACTCGACTACACATCTCATCCCCAATAACCCATTAATTTGATACTATGTATTTAAGAGATGAAAAAAAAAAAAAAAAAAAACATAGAGAAGGAAAAATAATAGAGAAGTGATTTTAGTACGTGCACTAAAAAAACAAAAAAAACTAAATTCCAATAGCAGTGTAATTGTGTAACTGGCAATTAAAGAAAAGGTCTTTGGAGAGGCAAAAGGTAGCAAACATTAGGGATATACTTGTAAAATCCATGTTTAGGTATTTGTGATGCTAAATTTCTTCCCATCTCAAATTCACTAATTTGAGATTAGGCGGCTAACCTAGAGATGAATTCATGTTTAGGTATGTGATGCCTAAACCAAACCATGTGTTTTTTTTTTTTTTTTTTTTTTTGAATGGGTGAGCTTTTATAAATAAATAAAGAAAAATACTGTACAACAAAGACCACAAAGCAACACGAGCTATTACAAGATCAAAATCAAAAAAGGGAAGAAACCAAAGCCAACTGTCAAAACAGTCAAACAAAATCAACTTGGTAACCTTAGGAACTTGAACTCAAAGCCAGGAATCTGTAGAGCCACTGCCAGAACCCATAGACAATAGAAGGACGATAAACAAAGCATCCACATTCAGTTGGTAACTGGACTGTAAAAGAGCAAATGAATAGGCTGCCAAAGAGAAACAACACAACCTTACTGAAGTAGTTGATGTAGATCTTCCATTGTGTCAATTCTTTAAAGTCTTCACTCCAACATAGCTTGATTGGGGCACCTCCTCAAGGTAAATGAAAATGCTGTCCTAGGGAAACAGCACAACCTTGCTGAAATAACTGTTGAAGATCCTCCATTGTCCAATTATCCTTAAGTCTTCACTCCTTTTTAATTTGATTGAGGCAAGTCTTGTCTTAACACAATTTCTGATTGCTCTGATGAGGATGTGAAGATGGGATGACTTGTTCCTGAATGCCCTTGAGTTCCTTTCCTGTCAAATGAAATAAATTGCAGCTGACAGAAGTAACTTGTGAGTGGTAAAGTCACCATGTTTCCAGAACTTTGAGCACCAATCAATCAGATCAGTCTAGCATCTTAGCAATATATAGATCCTGCAACATTTTGAATGAATTTCCAAATGGCACTGCTATATTTACATTTAAAGAAGAGATGGTCCAATAACTCCCAATCAGCCAAACACAAAAAGCATGCATTTGTTCTATGTTTATTTCTCATGGGTTTTGAGTCCAATGTGTAGACCCTATTCTTAATAGACATCCAAACTATATGACCATGCTTTGGGATATGATGCTTAAACCAAATAATGTGGTGCCATGTAAACAAGAAAGAAGGTGGAGTGAAATATTCCATGGTGAGCTTGTGAGAGTAGTCTTGCTGAGCATTTGGTAACCATTGGATTAGGTCTACTGTTGGTGATGGTGTGACTGTGCTGTTGAGCTGAGAAATGAAAGATTGAGATTGGAAAAATGGATTTTGTTGAAAAAATGGAGGGATCATCCACTGAAAATTAGAAATTAGGCTATCAACTTTGACTTGGCAGTCCAGTTGAAGAATTTCCACTTCAGTGAGATTCAATTGAGATGAGATAGGTCCATTAGGGAGCCAGTAATAAATCCAAAGACTTGTATTCAGACTTGAGCCAACCCTGTGCCTAATTAAACCCTTTACTATACCTCTTAGCTTTAATAGCCTTTTCCAGAATCCAGAGCTTAAAGTAGAAGGTTTGACAGTCCAAAAACTTCTATTTTTTATGAGGTATCTGTGAATCCAAGCAACCCATAAGGAGTCCTTCCTAGCACACAACTTCCAAATGTGTTTGAGGCTTAAAACCTGTTTGTTAACTCTAGGCAAGGAAAACCCAGTCCACCATAAATTTAAGGCTTTCAAATAGCTGTCCAAGCTACCTTTGCCCCTCCCTTCCTCAATTCAATTCCAGACCAGTAGAAGCTTCTAATTATTTGATTGATTTGGTCGATCACTTTTTATGGCAGTATGAAAGCTTGTGTCCAGTAGGCTTGGATGGAGTAGAGAATGGATCTAATCAGCACTGCCCTACCAGCATAAGATAAAAATCTTGAAGTCCACATTGTAATTCTCTTTGTGATTTTATTCACCAAAGTTTGACAATCAGTTGCATTGATAGCTGAAGAAGATAGAGGTAAACCAAGATAAGTAATTGGCAGGTTTCCAACCTTAAACTGAAGGAGAGATAAAATGCTTGCTCTAGTTTGTGAATCCACCCCGGCAAAGAACACTTGACTCTTTGAGAAATTAATTGACAGTCCAAAAATTTGTAAAAATTTGTTCAAGGCTGAGAAAAGCATCTCAACTGAAGAGAAATTACCATAGGAGAAAAGAAGAATGTCATCTGCAAATGCAAGATGAGTAATGTCTAATTTACTACACCTCCAATGGTATTTAAATGAGGGATTCTGAGAGATGGACTTTGTAATGGCTAGAGAAAGAACTTCCATTGCCAAGACAAACAACAATGGTGAAATTGGATCCCCCTGTCTTATGCCTCTTCTACCCTTGACAAACCCAAAAAGTTCACCATTTATTGAAATATAATAAGAGGGGGTTATGATACATTGTTCAATCCAGTGTATGAGCTAATTGGGAAAACTAAAAAGATGCAGTGAGTCAAGGATAAACTGCCAATGTAATGAATCAAAGGCTTTTTTCAAATCAATCTTGAGTGTACAGCATGGTGAATGGGATGATTTGTGATATCCATTAAGAAGTTCATGTGCAATCAAAATGTTGTCTGAAATTTGTCTATCTTTAATAAATGCATTCTGTGAGGGGGAGATAAGGAAGGGAAGATCAGAACTTTGATTTATGGCTATTTGCTTAGATATGCATTTATAGAGGAGGTTACAACATGAAATTGGTCTGATATTGTTTATAGTGGAGGGGTTTGGCTTTTTAGGGACAAGGGCTATGTAAGAATAGTTAAAGTCAGAGAGCATTTTGCCTGAAATGAAAAAATCCTTGATTGCAGCAGTCACATCAAGTCCAATAATAGGCCAAGCGTGCTTGAAGAAGCAATAATTGAAGCCATTTGGCCCAGGGCTTTGTAAAGGTGAAATGATAGAATGCAATTCTTGATATCCAGGTCAGATGGAATTGCAATGAGCTGGGATAAGAAGTGAGATGGAACCCTTTTGGTGAATAGGTCAGTGAAGGTATTCATACCTGGATACTGGCTGTAACTTTGCCCAAGCAATCCTTGAAAGTGCCTTAAAAATTCATTTTGTAGCTCCTGACCTTGTATTGAAGACCCATTTAGATCCTCAATTGCAATAATTTTCCTCTTGTTAGATTTGGAAGAGAAAGCTTTCATGAAGTAAGCTGTGTTTTGATCCCCCACTTTCAACCAATGAACTTGAGCCTTCTGTTTGTAAAACATTTCCTCAGCCAAACACAATTCTGAGTATTTGTTTGCTAGGTCCCTTTCATTGACTCTAAGTAAATCATCAATAGGATTAAGATCAAGGCTTCTTTGGCATTGTTCCAACTCCTCTTTGCAAGTAGCCACTTTTCTAGAGATAGCTCCAAATTCTTTTCTATTAAGTGCTTTTAGGGGACCTTTCAAAGCTCTCAGCCTTTGCACCACTGAGAACATTTTTGTGCCTCGAAAATGCATACTCCATCCTTGTTGAACAATGTCCAGAAACTTCTCATTGAGTGTCCAAAAATTAAAGAACCTAAAGGGAAGGTTTTTCTTTGGTGATTGTGGACCAAACTTAACCACCATTGGTGAGTGGTCTGAAATGCCATGTGGTAGAAATTCACAAGCAGCCCTGGGGAAGGCCGTCATCCATGCTTGATTAATTAAAACCCTATCTAGCTTCCTTGAAATGTTGGCACACCCAAAGCTACTGTTAGTCTAGATGCCAGAGTATCTCAAGTCCTCTAATCCATTCTTGTGCAAGTAGTTATTGAAGTCTACCATGCCTTGAGTCCACCCAGGAGCCCCTCCAAATGTTTCATTGATATTGAGTAAGACATTGAAGTCACCAAGAAGTATCCATGGGGTATCAGGATCACTGTGTAGGTTAATGCTTCTCCAAAGATGCTTCCTTTCACTAGCAGTGTTTGCAGCATAAATGAATGACGCTAAATATTTCAACTTCAGCTTATTGATCCACACTGTGCAATTGATGACTTGACGATCCTGAGAGGTATCTATAAGCTGGATTCTATCTGAGTTCCAAAGCACGCACCCAGACTCTACCCAAAACAGAATGAGAATAGTTGCATTTGATGTGCCATGAAGGGGCAATAAACTTGTGGATGTCCTCCATATTATCATTTTCAACTTTAGTCTCCAAAATTGCCAAGAGACAAAGATCCTTTTCAATAATCAACTTTTTAACCTCTACTTGATTGAGGGGAGAGTTCAGCCCCCTTATATTCTAAGCTCCCCAATTCATTGAGAAGCGTTGGTAAGCTTACACAACCCCCTAAACCCCTAAAGGGTAGATACATTGGCCAAACAAGGCTTAGTTAACTTAGCCTTTCTACTAATTTTTGAGTGTTTACCTTGAGATGGTTTCCTAGACTTGAGTGCTTTGTCAATAATAGGAGAAAAAGTGGGATCATGAGGTTCAAAGTTAGCATTGGATTCTGAGTTCTCTTCATTGTCACTGTATTCAGAAGCTGCATTATTCTCCAAACCAACTTCATCTTCTTGGACTTGTGTCAGAGCAAGGAAGGAGTTAGAAGTGTGAATGGGTTGTGGAGGTAAGGAATTATTATCTGTGATCACCATGTTATGACAGGACAAATCCACAAACAAATTTAATTTTTGAGAAGCTTCATGTTGGACTGTTGGAGACATAGCAGTTGCATGTTCCAATACTATATTGGTGCCACTGCAATACTATATAACTAATAAATCTCTCTCTTTCAATATATAATGCCATAGGGTATAGCGGTGTTGGCAAAAATCTTTTATTATATATAAAATTCATGTTTAGGTGAATTTTTTTTGGGAAAACTACACATAGATAGAGTTAAGAGTTCTAAATAACAAATTAATCAATTTTAAAAGTTGATTTTTCACTTTGATTGAATTAAGAAAAATAATTACAAATGTATCAAGAACTATTGTTGAGGTCCAAAATACCCTTTAAACTCTTATTTCAAAATACCAAAACATCCTTCTTAAAATTATATAATTTAAAATTAGATAATTTAAAATTAGTTTGACTATCATTTAATACAAACTACTCAAGAATGTGATGCAAATGCTTATCATGTTAAAGATTTTTGTTCAAAAAGCAATGATAGCCCATCTTTTACTTCTATAAAGGACATCTAGAAAATTTTTATCCAATGATTTGTCTTTCAGTAAAGATGTCTAGAAAGTTGCTCTCATAATCTCATTAAAACCATCCATATATCTATATACAAATTTATATTCTAAATTAGAACATAATGGTTCTTGTCTAATAAAAAAGATGCAAACTTTTATAAATGGATGTCATTTCTCTAAATAGATCAAAGAATTCATCCAAATTTGCTACAATTATAATGATTTTTTTCCTGCCATGTCCACTGTCCACATGATACTCGCCTCTTGTTGATTGATTTGAGGCCCGTTCTGTGGCCAGGCCGAAGCACAAAACAAAAGAATTCGTTTTTTAGTCGTACACTGGAATTGAGGAATTGATTTCCAAGTGTTATTTTCGTCTCCGTGAATGTGTCCCTCAGTCAGTCTAAATGGACAGTCAGTCCAGAGAAGAGAATCCAATCGTGTCGTGTGGGCCCTGCCATAAAATGATTTGGGGCTTGGGGTGTAGACGTAAAGCCGTAGTTTTTGAGTGATTGTGGTGCTAAGATTCCGATACCCTGTATACATAGGGAAAGCCGTGCAATGAAAAATGCAAACACGGGTTATAAATCCGTATTCTATTTTTGCAGCCTATTTCATGTTATATTGTTGAGTAACAAGCCTTTCATTTTCTATTTTTATTTATAGAAAATTCATTCTTAAATAATTTCCTTTTATCTTACAAGTATTTACCATATTATATGTAAATGGCATTCTTGATCATGCCTTATCTTGGACTCCATCTCTTAATTTAGTACCTTAATATAAGCTATTAGTATGGAGCAAGGTTATAGTTTTCTATTTTTTTTTTTTTTGTTTAATATTTTGGAAATATATGATTATAAGAAGATTATTTTAGTATTTTATAATACGGGCTTAGAGGATATTTTGGGTTTTAATAATAATTCTTGAAGTATTTGTAATTCTTTCATTTGATTCAATCAAATTAAAAAAAAAAATTTTAAAATAAACTATTTTATTATTAAGGGCTCGTATTACTTCTAGGTAATCAAGTGCTCTAAGAATATATATATATATAAAAGAAAAAATCAGCATTTGAAACAAACAATTTTCATGAGTATTTGAAAAGAATACTTCTTCCAAAGTGGTAGAAGAAGAAGTTTGTGTGTATGATATATCAAACAAGAAAAAAAAGAAAAAGGGTAATTGAAAAGAAATACCAAAAGCAAATAGCTAGTCATGTTGTATTTCTTCAATCAATTCCACAGACCAATTCCATAAGTAATTAATGATTCAATTAATAAAAATTTAGAGATGGATAAAACCATGAATCGTTTCTCACTGCAATAAGAAAAACTACATTAAATTTAAGTAGAAAAAAAAAAAAAAAAAAAAAAAAACAAAAAACAAACAAATTGCACTACTCGAAGGCCCAAGGGTACTCATTGCGAAGAACCCTCTCTTCCTGATCAGCGAAATCATTTTCGATATTAAATCTGGCGCGAAACTGCTCCACAGTGTAACCTCGGATATCGCTGGCGATTCTCGTACAAACAATGTCGAGCAAATCCTTGAGCTCGAGATAGTTTGCCGCCAGCGAGAGGTAATGGAGGTCGGACTGGGGTTTGTCCACAAACTTATCATCAAACTTTTTCAGGTCATCCTCGGAAGCCTTTGGGTCTGCATGCTTCTTCAAATACTCTATGATCATGGCCAAATCTTCGCCGGCGACGTTCGGTAACGGAATCGTGGTGTAGTCTTCCTCCACAATGTTCTTGATCAGCACGGACTGGACAGCCACCGATTCTTCCACCAAAAACTCCTCGTTATCGGAGCTCTGCAGTGTTAGCATCTTTGCCTCCTTGTTTGAAGTTGAAGCTGAAGCCTGGTTTGAAGTTGAAGCCATGGGATCTGGCTGCAGAACACTAAAAGGGATGGGTAGGGTTTTGCAAATAACACGAGGAGGGTTCGGCTAACTCTCTCTCTATAGATATATATATAAAGTGATATGTATTACTACTAGGGTTGATTTCTTGGACGCCGATTCTTACTAGGATTTGGATCCAAATCCGTTTTGGAAACAAATAAAATTAGGACTCTAGGGTGTAATATATAGTCCAAAAATTGGAGTTCTTACTTAGGATTTGGATCCAAATCCGTTATGGAAACAAATAAAAAACGTAATAGCCCCTTTTAAAATTTTTTTTACAAGTGTCTTTCATAATTAAATTATCATTTTTTAATTTATTTGGTAACATTATCTTTAATTTAAACATTTGTATTGCTATTTTATAATAATATATATATTTTTAATATAACGTTATTATATTTGATAATAGCAATTTTATAGAAGGGTTGAAATGGTCTTTTTAAAAAATAAAAAATGACAAAATTGTTTAAGGGAAAATAGTTACATAAAAATACAATCTTTAAAAACTCCAAATTATAACTTTATTCAAAAGGAGATAAAATAAAATGACTTTTAAGTAATTGAAAAATAATATCAACTTGGCTCGTAATTACTTGGATTAGTATGTTTTCCTTTAGGCTTCGTTTGGTTAGGTGGAATCAACTAGAAAAGAAAGAAAAGGGAAAAATTTTAAATTTTTTTGAAGTTTGGATAGAAGGAAAAAGAAAAGAAAGAGAAAATCTAGTTTCCCGCATCGGTCTATTTGTACCAAAAAAATTTTACGCGAAAATAGTATTTTCCAGTGAAAGGAGTCTTTTATTTGACTTTCCTATTTTATCCAACTAACTTGTTTGTATTTGTTGTTGGGTAATTCTCTCTTTTGTGACTTTGTGAGTTTTCAACAACTATTTTTAAGAAGCAATAATTTTTTTTTTCTTTCAATAAAATATGATAGGTGCATCTTTTTTAATATAATCCACGTATCTAATGGGAAGGTCCAAGAATAAAAGAAAAAAAATATTAATATTTAGTTGAGCCTCCTCTGCTCTCTAATTATGTGTAATCCAACCTTTAAAAATTAGTTTGCCTTATTTTATTATAATTTTTTTTTAATCATCTATTGAACAATATTTATTTTTTAAATTCTAATTGATATAAAAGTAATTTTGGTAAGTAGAATTATTTTTTTTTTTCACTTTCATCCCACCCAAATTAATAAAATCATATTTTATCATAACTTTTTTTTTTTTTTTTGATAAGTAAATATTTTATCATAACTTTCTCGAAAGACTTTAATACTAACCAAATTCATGGTAAAATAGATCTTACTTCTAAATAGAATTTTTTATTTTTTTTAATCCTCTATTCTATGCTGCAATTGCAATTCTAGCTACTCATAATCCGGTATGGATATATATATATATATATATTTTATATGGTAAAATATTTAATTTTTCTCCCAAACAGTAGTCTCTAATTTTTTTTTTTAATTTGTTTATCTTAAACTAATAATTAGTTTTACCTAGAAAATATTATGAAGCCTTATTCTAAATATAAATAATATAAATAAATATAAACAATTATACATTTGAATTTAATAATTTATCATTTTAATTCATAAGGGTAGTTTTGGTATGCATAATTACTTTCTTTTCACTTTCATACTATTAACCAAATGTATCTTAAAATAAAATTTTAAAATAAACTATTTTAAAATAAAATTTTAAAATAAACTATTTTATTATTAAGGGCTCGTATTACTTCTAGGTAATCAAGTGCTCTAAGAATATATATATATATAAAAGAAAAAATCAGCATTTGAAACAAACAATTTTCATGAGTATTTGAAAAGAATACTTCTTCCAAAGTGGTAGACGAAGAAGTTTGTGTGTATGATATATCAAATTAAAAAAAAAAAATTTAAAATAAACTATTTTATTATTAAGGGCTCGTATTACTTCTAGGTAATCAAGTGCTCTAAGAATATATATATATATAAAAGAAAAAATCAGCATTTGAAACAAACAATTTTCATGAGTATTTGAAAAGAATACTTCTTCCAAAGTGGTAGACGAAGAAGTTTGTGTGTATGATATATCAAACAAGAAAAAAAAGAAAAAGGGTAATTGAAAAGAAATACCAAAAGCAAATAGCTAGTCATGTTGTATTTCTTCAATCAATTCCACAGACCAATTCCATAAGTAATTAATGATTCAATTAATAAAAATTTAGAGATGGATAAAACCATGAATCGTTTCTCACTGCAATAAGAAAAACTACATTAAATTTAAGTAGAAAAAAAAAAAAAAAAAAAAAAAAAGCAAAAAACAAACAAATTGCACTACTCGAAGGCCCAAGGGTACTCATTGCGAAGAACCCTCTCTTCCTGATCAGCGAAATCATTTTCGATATTAAATCTGGCGCGAAACTGCTCCACAGTGTAACCTCGGATATCGCTGGCGATTCTCGTACAAACAATGTCGAGCAAATCCTTGAGCTCGAGATAGTTTGCCGCCAGCGAGAGGTAATGGAGGTCGGACTGGGGTTTGTCCACAAACTTATCATCAAACTTTTTCAGGTCATCCTCGGAAGCCTTTGGGTCTGCATGCTTCTTCAAATACTCTATGATCATGGCCAAATCTTCGCCGGCGACGTTCGGTAACGGAATCGTGGTGTAGTCTTCCTCCACAATGTTCTTGATCAGCACGGACTGGACAGCCACCGATTCTTCCACCAAAAACTCCTCGTTATCGGAGCTCTGCAGTGTTAGCATCTTTGCCTCCTTGTTTGAAGTTGAAGCTGAAGCCTGGTTTGAAGTTGAAGCCATGGGATCTGGCTGCAGAACACTAAAAGGGATGGGTAGGGTTTTGCAAATAACACGAGGAGGGTTCGGCTAACTCTCTCTCTATAGATATATATATAAAGTGATATGTATTACTACTAGGGTTGATTTCTTGGACGCCGATTCTTACTAGGATTTGGATCCAAATCCGTTTTGGAAACAAATAAAATTAGGACTCTAGGGTGTAATATATAGTCCAAAAATTGGAGTTCTTACTTAGGATTTGGATCCAAATCCGTTATGGAAACAAATAAAAAACGTAATAGCCCCTTTTAAAATTTTTTTTACAAGTGTCTTTCATAATTAAATTATCATTTTTTAATTTATTTGGTAACATTATCTTTAATTTAAACATTTGTATTGCTATTTTATAATAATATATATATTTTTAATATAACGTTATTATATTTGATAATAGCAATTTTATAGAAGGGTTGAAATGGTCTTTTTAAAAAATAAAAAATGACAAAATTGTTTAAGGGAAAATAGTTACATAAAAATACAATCTTTAAAAACTCCAAATTATAACTTTATTCAAAAGGAGATAAAATAAAATGACTTTTAAGTAATTGAAAAATAATATCAACTTGGCTCGTAATTACTTGGATTAGTATGTTTTCCTTTAGGCTTCGTTTGGTTAGGTGGAATCAACTAGAAAAGAAAGAAAAGGGAAAAATTTTAAATTTTTTTGAAGTTTGGATAGAAGGAAAAAGAAAAGAAAGAGAAAATCTAGTTTCCCGCATCGGTCTATTTGTACCAAAAAAATTTTACGCGAAAATAGTATTTTCCAGTGAAAGGAGTCTTTTATTTGACTTTCCTATTTTATCCAACTAACTTGTTTGTATTTGTTGTTGGGTAATTCTCTCTTTTGTGACTTTATGAGTTTTCAACAACTATTTTTAAGAAGCAATAATTTTTTTTTTCTTTCAATAAAATATGATAGGTGCATCTTTTTTAATATAATCCACGTATCTAATGGGAAGGTCCAAGAATAAAAGAAAAAAAATATTAATATTTAGTTGAGCCTCCTCTGCTCTCTAATTATGTGTAATCCAACCTTTAAAAATTAGTTTGCCTTATTTTATTATAATTTTTTTTTAATCATCTATTGAACAATATTTATTTTTTAAATTCTAATTGATATAAAAGTAATTTTGGTAAGTAGAATTATTTTTTTTTTTCACTTTCATCCCACCCAAATTAATAAAATCATATTTTATCATAACTTTTTTTTTTTTTTTTTGATAAGTAAATATTTTATCATAACTTTCTCGAAAGACTTTAATACTAACCAAATTCATGGTAAAATAGATCTTACTTCTAAATAGAATTTTTTATTTTTTTTAATCCTCTATTCTATGCTGCAATTGCAATTCTAGCTACTCATAATCCGGTATGGATATATATATATATATATATTTTATATGGTAAAATATTTAATTTTTCTCCCAAACAGTAGTCTCTAATTTTTTTTTTTAATTTGTTTATCTTAAACTAATAATTAGTTTTACCTAGAAAATATTATGAAGCCTTATTCTAAATATAAATAATATAAATAAATATAAACAATTATACATTTGAATTTAATAATTTATCATTTTAATTCATAAGGGTAGTTTTGGTATGCATAATTACTTTCTTTTCACTTTCATACTATTAACCAAATGTATCTTAAAATAAAATTTTAAAATAAACTATTTTAAAATAAAATTTTAAAATAAACTATTTTATTATTAAGGGCTCGTATTACTTCTAGGTAATCAAGTGCTCTAAGAATATATATATATATAAAAGAAAAAATCAGCATTTGAAACAAACAATTTTCATGAGTATTTGAAAAGAATACTTCTTCCAAAGTGGTAGACGAAGAAGTTTGTGTGTATGATATATCAAATTAAAAAAAAAAAATTTAAAATAAACTATTTTATTATTAAGGGCTCGTATTACTTCTAGGTAATCAAGTGCTCTAAGAATATATATATATATAAAAGAAAAAATCAGCATTTGAAACAAACAATTTTCATGAGTATTTGAAAAGAATACTTCTTCCAAAGTGGTAGACGAAGAAGTTTGTGTGTATGATATATCAAACAAGAAAAAAAAGAAAAAGGGTAATTGAAAAGAAATACCAAAAGCAAATAGCTAGTCATGTTGTATTTCTTCAATCAATTCCACAGACCAATTCCATAAGTAATTAATGATTCAATTAATAAAAATTTAGAGATGGATAAAACCATGAATCGTTTCTCACTGCAATAAGAAAAACTACATTAAATTTAAGTAGAAAAAAAAAAAAAAAAAAAAAAAAAGCAAAAAACAAACAAATTGCACTACTCGAAGGCCCAAGGGTACTCATTGCGAAGAACCCTCTCTTCCTGATCAGCGAAATCATTTTCGATATTAAATCTGGCGCGAAACTGCTCCACAGTGTAACCTCGGATATCGCTGGCGATTCTCGTACAAACAATGTCGAGCAAATCCTTGAGCTCGAGATAGTTTGCCGCCAGCGAGAGGTAATGGAGGTCGGACTGGGGTTTGTCCACAAACTTATCATCAAACTTTTTCAGGTCATCCTCGGAAGCCTTTGGGTCTGCATGCTTCTTCAAATACTCTATGATCATGGCCAAATCTTCGCCGGCGACGTTCGGTAACGGAATCGTGGTGTAGTCTTCCTCCACAATGTTCTTGATCAGCACGGACTGGACAGCCACCGATTCTTCCACCAAAAACTCCTCGTTATCGGAGCTCTGCAGTGTTAGCATCTTTGCCTCCTTGTTTGAAGTTGAAGCTGAAGCCTGGTTTGAAGTTGAAGCCATGGGATCTGGCTGCAGAACACTAAAAGGGATGGGTAGGGTTTTGCAAATAACACGAGGAGGGTTCGGCTAACTCTCTCTCTATAGATATATATATAAAGTGATATGTATTACTACTAGGGTTGATTTCTTGGACGCCGATTCTTACTAGGATTTGGATCCAAATCCGTTTTGGAAACAAATAAAATTAGGACTCTAGGGTGTAATATATAGTCCAAAAATTGGAGTTCTTACTTAGGATTTGGATCCAAATCCGTTATGGAAACAAATAAAAAACGTAATAGCCCCTTTTAAAATTTTTTTTACAAGTGTCTTTCATAATTAAATTATCATTTTTTAATTTATTTGGTAACATTATCTTTAATTTAAACATTTGTATTGCTATTTTATAATAATATATATATTTTTAATATAACGTTATTATATTTGATAATAGCAATTTTATAGAAGGGTTGAAATGGTCTTTTTAAAAAATAAAAAATGACAAAATTGTTTAAGGGAAAATAGTTACATAAAAATACAATCTTTAAAAACTCCAAATTATAACTTTATTCAAAAGGAGATAAAATAAAATGACTTTTAAGTAATTGAAAAATAATATCAACTTGGCTCGTAATTACTTGGATTAGTATGTTTTCCTTTAGGCTTCGTTTGGTTAGGTGGAATCAACTAGAAAAGAAAGAAAAGGGAAAAATTTTAAATTTTTTTGAAGTTTGGATAGAAGGAAAAAGAAAAGAAAGAGAAAATCTAGTTTCCCGCATCGGTCTATTTGTACCAAAAAAATTTTACGCACAAAACACGCGAAAATAGTATTTTCCAGTGAAAGGAGTCCTTTTATTTGACTTTCCTATTTTATCCAACTAACTTGTTTGTATTTGTTGTTGGGTAATTCTCTCTTTTGTGACCTTGTGAGTTTTCAACAACTATTTTTAAGAAGCAATAATTTTTTTTTTTTCTTTCAATAAAATATGATAGGTGCATCTTTTTTAATATAATCCACGTATCTAATGGGAAGGTCCAAAAATAAAAGAAAAAAAATATTAATATTTAGTTGAGCCTCCTCTGCTCTCTAATTATGTGTAATCCAACCTTTAAAAATTAGTTTGCCTTATTTTATTATAATTTTTTTTTAATCATCTATTGAACAATATTTATTTTTTAAATTCTAATTGATATAAAAGTAATTTTGGTAAGTAGAATTATTTTTTTTTTCCACTTTCATCCCACCCAAATTAATAAAATCATATTTTATCATAACTTTTTTTTTTTTTTTTGATAAGTAAATATTTTATCATAACTTTCTCGAAAGACTTTAATACTAACCAAATTCATGGTAAAATAGATCTTACTTCTAAATAGAATTTTTTATTTTTTTTAATCCTCTATTCTATGTTGCAATTGCAATTCTAGCTACTCATAATCCGGTATGGATATATATATATATATATATTTTATATGGTAAAATATTTAATTTTTCTCCCAAACAGTAGTCTCTAATTTTTTTTTTTTAATTTGTTTATCTTAAACTAATAATTAGTTTTACCTAGAAAATATTATGAAGCCTTATTCTAAATATAAATAATATAAATAAATATAAACAATTATACATTTGAATTTAATAATTTATCATTTTAATTCATAAGGGTAGTTTTGGTATGCATAATTTCTTTCTTTTCACTTTCATACTATCCCAATTAACAAACTAATATTTTTTTTACAATTTTCTTGGATAAATTTTCATATTAACCAAATGTATACAAGATTTTTTATTTTTTTATTTTTATTTTTTTTTTCATTCACTTCACTTTTCTTTCACTTTCTATTTCTTTTCTTTTCTAACTTATTTCTGTCTAACCAAATGGAGCCTTGATGTTACTTGCACTAACTTACTGGAGTATCGATGCATCTCACCTCATGATTGAAAAGCAATCCCAAACTATTCTTAATCATTTTAGAATTATAAAATGGCTATATATATATATATATATATATATATATGGTATTTTGCTCATAGATTAAATATTCTTACTTTTTCTTTCTCCATGATTATTAATATTGGTTTAAATTGCTAAGTTGTTTGAATTTAGTAAATAACTTTAATGTACTAGGTGTACGAGATGACATGATTGATGGGAATTACTCTTTCCCGTCCCATAATAAGTATTATGTCAATTTGTGAGTTACGATTCTCAGGGTGAATCAATGTATTAACAGAAGCAACCATCTGTACAAAAGCAGGCCAAGGTGCAAAACAAAATGCAACAAGCCCAACAAGGGCACCCAAAAACAAGCCCTCTGAGAGACCTAACTAGCCGCTGCGACCCCAACAGAGAAGAAAGAGCAGCAACAGGAGGAAGAGAAGAGGAAAGCAAAGACACCAGCTGCCACTATGAAGTGGGAGCATTGAAAATAGAACTTAGATTGTGTTCGGTTGTATGAAATTGAAATTTGTAAAATTGAAGAAAAGCAATTCACAAAATTGAACCATTTTTTTTTTCAATTCACAAAAGTTGGAAATATTGTTCGGAAGCCGTTGCGTCAACGGATTTACAACATTCTGGTATCATTCCGACGGACACTGCCTCGATAAATTCATCTGCAGGTTCCGGTGGTGGCCGGATGAAGGAGAAGGCAAATCCCGGTGGAGGTGTAGGAATTAGAAGTGAAGTTGAAGAAAGGAGCAAAAACATTCACACTCCTTTGCTGGGGAGAAATCATAAAAACATGGTTAGTAGTTCATATAAAGGAAAATTTTAAACATCTAAATTTCCAAATATTATCAAATCAATAGATTTTTACACAATTTTATTATTCTTAAACCATTGTTTGACAAAGTTTCAGTGGATTAATTCCATGATGGGAGTAATGGTGGAAAATTAAATCCATGGAGATGACTAGATGAGTTATAAGCATAGAGCGTCATAGTTGCAAAACTACATAAAAAAAAAAATAGACTTTTTTTTTTTTTTTTTTTTTTTTTTTTTTTTTTTTTTGAACAAATAAAATAATTATTAAACAGATAAAACTGCCCGTATTACTACTTTCCCCCAAATGTTTCCCTTCCCTCTTCTGTCACACCAACCAAGATCCACTATGATAGAATTATGTAGTCTTTGCTTACACGGAAATTAATAGTGGATAGTAAAAGAAATTAAAGTAATTAATAGTGAATGGTAAAAAGAAGCAAAGTGAATGAAAGATAAATAAATTTTTTTATATTGTATTTATTTTAGCATGAAAAATTACCATTTTATAGTTTGAATAGACTGAAACTTACTTATAAAAGAAAATTTTATAAAGGGCATTGTTGTAAGTTCATAAAAAAATTTCTCAAGAAATTAAGTGATTTTTTGTAAAAAAATTTATGGAAAAGTTTAGTAGTTATGGAAAGTAATTTTTTCTCAATTTTTTTTTTTCCTGTTACAATTTTCATCTAATCAAACAAAGTCAATAAGAAAATCAACCGGGTTGAGCATTATTATGAGATTTCAAAACAGGGCTTATCTCAGTATCATCAATACGTTGCCACACACCATGAAGAAGTTAAGCTTTAAATGTAATGTCACAGCTTCCACTGAAATGAGCAAATCAAACCTGGCACAACATCTATGGAACTTAAGTGTTGTTCCCTTAATACGGAAGCTACTAAGTTAATTTTTGGCCAAAAAAAAAAAAAACTTCTATGAAAATAGACATCAAACTCTTTGACATGCTAAAGAATACTTGCAACAAAAGCCAAAAAAAAAAAAAAATTTAAATATTTGATTTTTTTTTTTTTTAATAATATATGACAAATATGTGTGAGTTGTGCGTCGTGGAAAGTTTGAATCTATTTTTTAAAAAACTGCTTTGAGAGAGGAATAATCATGTGTTTTTTTATCTAATCTAGTCCACTAAAATTACCAGTTATTTGAGCAATCACAAATTTAAAGCAAGTAAAGTCTGTAGTGATACCGGATTTTAGCGAGGAAACTAATTGGAAAACTTGAGGTTTTGTGCGTCATTCCAAGCATAAAAAAACCCACTATGTATAAAGCAAAGTACACCGAACTTTGACTCATACTCAAACTCTTTTGCTCTACCAAGACTCAATCCGTTGAATGTCCCTACCAAGACTCAATCCGCTGAATGTCCCTGACTTTGCAACTTCTCGTCCAACAGATCTAGACTTCAGACTTATGCTTCGAACCTTGTACAAAGATTGTTGGTAGATCAACAACGGTCCGCGAGCGCCTTGATTCCTTCAAAGTGTGATTTTAAATTCTTCTTCTTTGAATCTGAATTTGATGTAGAAGAAATAAAATCTGCTTTCTTTGATCGTTGTACATGCAATCTTAAATCGACTTGAATACGATCAGGATATGAACAACACCCTAAATTCACTCGTGTGTATATAGTGTGTATGTTCTTAAAAATTTCACCAAAAAGGCTTTTAATGAAAATTAGAATTTTAATGCAAAAAACCAAACAAACCTAGATGAGGTTTATATATATAGACTTTTAGAACCCTAATGTCACTTGGAAAATAAATTAATTTCGTGCATGAGCTTTTCGAAGGAAGTCTATGCAAAATAGGAAGTTAAAACATAGTAGGAAACAAGTTAAACTGTTGAGAAACTTGAACCGGTTCAAGTTGGCCAGTACTTTTTTTTTTATAACAAAACTTCATATCTTGAACCGGTTCAACTGCCTTGAACCAGTTCAAGTTGGCCAATCTTGAATTAAAGGCATAAACACTTGAAAATTTCTTCTTATCTTTTCGTAGTCTTTAAACTATTGAATACGAATAACTCTTCAATTCCACTTCTGATCTTGAACTTGAATTTTGAACTTATAATTATAACTCAACCGAACTTATTTTGAGAACGAAATAATCCAATTACAATATATATATATACCTCACAATATGTTTTTGGGATTTGATAAAACTTAACAATGGTAGTATTGTAATTATCACCGCAAGAAACAATAATGTGGTTACTTGAAGCAAACAATGTGAATTTGAAGATGTATGAACTTAACAGTCTGCCACACAATAGAGTATGCAGCTCTTCTGTAAGAGGAGTTGAAGGAAATATATGATCAAATCGTAGAAAAATGTAAAAATGTAATGTAGTGTGACTTGGTAAATGTTAAGAATGTTATTCTCTTCAATTATCTTGATTTGTGATCTCATTCCTTAAAATTCCGGGATCATCCTCTTAAATACACAAATTTTTTTTTTTTTTTAACAAAAGATTGACTATTAAAATCTCGCGTGTTAGTACTTAGGATGAAAATTTAGATGCCTTATATATTAACGTCTAAGAATACATTACATAATCACTATTACTTTCAAGAAAATTATTTGAACAGTAAATTTCAAACTAAGTAAATTTCAAACTTTTTAAGGTATAAGATTTTAAAGATTCAAACTAAGTAAATTTCAAACTTTGTAAGGTATTAGATTTTAAAGATACACCAACATTAAATTCTCTAATTTTGACAACTAAGGTATTAGATTTTAAAGATACACCAACATTAAATTCTCTAATTTTGACAACTAAGGTATTAGATTTTAAAGATACACCAACATTAAATTCTCTAATTTTGACAAAAACAAAATTGAAGGTTTACATATTACATTAATTTCTCCACTATTCTGACTCCTAACTCTAGCCACCCTAGAGCTCCTCACTCGTATCTCGTTGATTACAAATGGATTTCATTACCTATTTATAGATCTCCTAGCTGCCCTCTAGGACCCTCACATATTCTAAATATTTAGAAGTTTACAAAATTCTCAGTTCCATTAGAATCTCTCATATTTTAAAATCTTTCCTTTTACAGTACTTCACAACTCCCTACATAATTCTAAAAGACTTTAGAACTCTAATACTATAGGAGTCTTGACTAAGTGTTGATACTTAAATTTAAGAATTAAAAAAGATCTAAACAATAAAATAAATAAACACATCTGAAGTACATCAGGGTAGATATTTAATAGGGGTGACAAAATGGGTCAGGAACTATCAACCCCACCCATATTTGCCCATTTTTTTAATGGTTATGGGTGAACCATATTTAATTGAGGGTCAAGATGGGTTGGGTAATTTTTAACTACTTAATTTGAGGGTCAAGATGGATTGAATAGAGTTAACCATATTCCACCCATATTTCACCCATCAAATAATAAACACACAACATATATGTATTCTATATTACACTCAACTCATTTCTCTCTCTAAAATTTTCTCTTTCACAATCTTCTTTTTCTAAATTTGTCTCTCATCAATCATTTCTCTCTAAGTTTCTCTCTCTAGAAATTTCTTTTAAAAAAAATAAATAATTTTAAAAAATTAAAAATAATTTAAAAAAATTAAAAAGAAAATTAAAACCTTATGAATTTTTTTTTTAAAAAAATAAAAAAATAAGGGGCCAGTGCCCAAGGGACCAATGCTCCTTTATCCAAAACCATATTTTTAGTTGGTCGTAAGCTTTGTGATGGTCCATATTCATTTTGGAGATAAATGTCTTTGTCTGAAACCCTTTACCACATCTTCCAGTTAAAAGCTTCACAAATTGTAAATATTTTTGTGTGTATGTGTGAAAAATTTCTCTCCAAAATCATTATCATCCATTTGACATCTCTCTCCAAAAAAAAAAAAAAAAAGAGTGAGGAAAAGAGTGAAAAATATGTATACGGAGTACTAAGGAAGTTTGAAAAATATGAATATATATAAGAGTTCTGAGTTCATAAAGTAAAGTGCACTTTGGAGATTTCTGTTTGCACGTTACAGATGTTTATTTATTTATTATTTCAATTTTATTCTGAGACATCCATACCATCACGCTGTGCATTAATTAAGAGAGAAATAAGCGTATAGTATTGACATTTCTATGTGATTGGATAATTAAAAGAATAAAAACTATGAAATACTGTGATGTTGTGTTTGGTAGCTATATATATATATATATATTCGATTCAGAATTATTATTATTATTATTATTTTTCTTTCCAATTCATTTTTGATTTTATTATTCAGTAAAGCAAGCAGGCAGGCATTTAATTGATAAAAAAATTATAAAATACAATCTAAAGCAGCCAACTCCTTTAAAATACAGGCATTCTCATCAATGCATACATTATAAAAAAAAATAAACATTTTTTGAAATTTATTACATCCCTCTCCAAAATCATTCTCATCCATCTGATATTAGTTTTCAAAAATCTAATTATGAGAAGTAAATGCTGAGAGTAGGTTGGTGGGGTTTTAAGGGAGAAGGAGCATCAGACATACTCCGGCGTCCGATGGGCCTGCTCCTGTTTCGGCTAGTTCTGCAATACCGACAGAGGCACCAGAAATGTTCCCATCAAATTTAAATAAAAAAAAATTTTAAAAATAAAAATATATATAAAAAATTAAAAATAATAATTAATGGTCCACGAGTCATAACGAGTTAACCCTGTCCATTTTTAACCCGTTCTTAATGAGTTGAATATGAGTCTTGACTCATGTTGAACCGTTTATTTTTAACCCAACTAAAACCCGACCCAACCCGCCCATTTGCCACCCCTAATATTTACCTACCATGAATTTGTTTTGCAACTCTTTCAGTTAGATTAGCTGTTATATATATATATATTTTTGACAAACACAAACAAAAAAAAAAAAGAAAAAAAGTAATGATTGCAAAATGTATAGAAAGAAATAATATGTAAATATCGTTATTATAGTTGCAAAATATAATATCACGGTGAAACATATAAAATTGATTCTCATGGTACTGTATTCTGCTTTTGGTTGCAATTGAGAATAATATAAAATTATTTTCGCCTTAATGTGATATGGAGATTAGCTTGGCTATGAATGTGTACATCTAACCCTAGGTCACAAAATCTGCAATGACACAAACCTTGCGCACCCGGGTAGTGTTTGAAAATAAAGAATTCTATTGTACGACATTGAAAGAGTTAATTATTCTATTTTGACTAATTGGTTGAAAAAAATTTATGCATCGGATGATTTGTTTGCATCCAAAAAGAGTCCAACCTTAAATCTAATGCTTCCCGAGGCACAAGGGTGAGTTTTTAAGGATAAATAGGTAAAAGGAAGAAAGCAATTGTCAAAGAATGACAAAAAAATATACCAGTTAACTTTTTAGCTGTATTATTATGAGATCTCAAAACAGAGCCGGGCTTAAGTCATTATCATCAATACTTGGCCACACACCGTGAAGTTAAGGCTCAAACATATCTTACAGGTTCAACTAAAATGAGCAAATCAAACCTGGCACATGTATAGAACTTAATATTACAGGCAGGTATATTGTTCCCTTAATATAGAAGCTATTAAGTTAGTTTTCGGAATTCTACAATCATGAAGGAGATGGGCGTGGTAGGCGCTTAGCAATTTCCTGTAAAAAAAAAAAAAAAAATTACAGATCAGTCTGAATTATAAAGATATTATCAAGCTCCATAACATAAAAACTATGTTTTGATGTAATTGTGGGGGCACAGAGAGGACAATCTGAACATCATTGACAAACCCTGCTAGAAGAACATGGCATATGTAATGCATCAAACATAGAATGTAGTTATAAATTGCCTTCAAGTTTGTTTTCCTTGTACTTACTTTTAAGTAATGGACCAACATACACGAAAAGTACAGATTATGACAATAAAAATACTGCTACGAAAAGTTTCTAGTACAAGAACCAAATAAGAAACGAAAAGCAGAGCTTTAAAATTTCAAACACAACTCATGTCATGTGAAACAATGCGTACCACCAAATATATGGTGACTGGGGATGGCAACCTGCCATATTATGATGGTATGGTACATGTAAACCAGGGTTGGGGCTGAATTGAAAACAAAAATTGAGTAACCCAACTCAGGTTCAGTACAGGAAGAGTTTAAGGGGATTCCGGGCGGGCCCAGCCTGACCCACCTGATTACATAACTTTTAAGCGTGCAGAACTTCGTTCCAGATCAGCTCGTGTAAGTCTAAGGCCACCATACTATGTGAAAGATCAGTCTCCTCCAATCACAGAACACAACACTCTTTGCTGCCATTACCAAAACGTGTTTTAACGGCTACAGGGGCATGTATCAGATTGTTGGAGTTCAGATGTTTAACATTTTCTAATCACTACTAATAAATATGGAAATAACTACTTCAGCATCCGAAGAGGCTGGTATCCACTGCCCTCCCCCGATCAAAAAACATGGGTTCCACATATTGTGTGGAGAGGGCCTTCCCCCAAAAAATTTAGAATATCTAAAGCACCATAAAACAATCTCATGACCACAGGTTGAACAACAAAACCAAAAGGGTGTGAGGACAACATCCATAACAAATCTCAGAGTGATGGATTGAACAACTTGAATTGACACGAAAATATGGCATAAATAACAGTTTCCTAGGTTCACACGAATTACTTGACAACAGCCTCTGGCCTCAGAAATCCACTTATTTAGATGGCAAGGGGAAAAGTTTAACTACGAAGCCCAAATCAATGTCACTCAATCAGATTTAATTCAACTTAAACTCAATATGTGAAATCCACAAATGCTTGGGGATCTGCTCCATTAGCAATCTCCAACAAAATGCCATAGTTATCCTATTAAATAAGCATATTTACGAACATTAATATATAATATACATATATATAACACAAAGTAGTGCAATACCTCAAACCAATCAACATAACCAGTCCCACGGGTTGACCAAGACAAAGCCTAATTACATAATTGAATGGCCCCCTTTTCCATTCCAACCATATTTGAAAGGTAACACAGACACATTAATAACAAAGAGAGAGCCAAAATGTATACAGCTCACGCATCCAACTACTAGGATTTGAACAACAAAATTTGAGAAATAAAACAATGTCATGTATTTGACAACACAGATTTCAAGATTCCCCTTCAGCTAAGACAAGGGTTTAATACCCATATAACGAATATCTTCTTGTTCCATGTTTGAGATGTTAAAAACACCTTCTACTAATTGAGGCTTTTTAAAAATATTATTGCAGCTATCAAAAGTTCAAATCTATCTGCAACAGATAAACTTTTAATGGTATAGACAGTTTTCGCCATCTGAAATCACTGCTTTAAAACAGGTAATATTTAATTTCGAGAAATTTGTTAATTCAATTGATATAACGATAGAGACATGAATAAGTACGAATGCTTTAATGCTAATTTCCTACTAATAAACACAGAACACCTCAATTCTCAACACAACAAAGGTGCAATATGACTACAAGGGGAAATCCTGGTAATAACACCGGTTTTCCTCCGAGACTAGATATTTATACCACATCATGATTCTCTGGAAGTTATTCAGTTTATATTGTAACCTTAACGCAACAAATAAGGTGTAAAATATTGTTAACTTTTTCTATAACACGAAGACATGGCTTTCTCCATCAATTTAACAATTATTGCATGGTTTAAATTTGTCCCATCTGCATGACTTTATCATAAACTTATTATTTAGTCTAACTAAAATAATATGTATATGCATGTAGTGTTTTAAATGATCACAAATAATGGGGAAAATATTTTAAATAATTGTTGTTACCGCCCTAGAATAAGATGTTGAGTTTGTAGTCAAATTATAAATATGATAGCCGTTAGAAGAACATCTCAACACAAAAAGACTGCTAACAAATAAACAATTTCTGCTATGACTGTACCTCAAATAGCTGATTAATATTATCTGCTGTCTTCGCAGATGTCTCAATAAAGAACATCCCATTCTTTTCCGCACAGTCAATGCCATCCTGACAAAAAAAAATAAAAATATGGCAGGCCAGTAAATACTAAATGCCGGTTAGTGAATACAAACAAAAAACTATTATTCAGTTGTGCAGTAATGTCACTCACTTGAATTGGCACTTCCCGTTTCTCTTGAAGATCAGCTTTGTTGCCAACTAAAGCCATTACTATATCAGGGTTCCCGTGTTTCTGTAGTTCCTATAAAATGCCATATGCATCATGATATCAGCTATACAGCCAAGTTAAGATGCTATTTGTAGTTCACGTAGATTTTCAAGTAGGTCCCATTTTTTCATGGGAATCAGAACTTGATAATTTTGGAAAAGCACATTGATAGAATGACCACTGTTTCCTAGCATGTAGATTGCTTTGTGATGCAGGATGGGAATTGGTTACAGTGTGAGCTGCTTATTCCAAACTTGGATGATGGGGTGAGCTTATAGTTTTTGTTCTTACTTTAGCATCCAAAGTGTGATCAATCATAAATGAATCTAAGTTTTTCATTGATCAAAGTGTGAACTTTTCTGGCACCAAGCTTTATGTTACAAAAAAAAATCTCAGCAGAAAATTAGTATTAGAACCAACAAGGAGTGGACAAACAACTTAGATTAACTCACTCCAAGCCATGGGTTAAAAACTAATATTTATTTGTATCATATAAATATTGACACATGAGTCATTATTTGTTTTCCCCTTTCTTTGATTTCATCTCTCTATAAAACTAAAAACAAGACAGACATTATAATGCTCATCACATTCAATAGAGAATTAATCCATTTGAGCATTAAGCATCAAACAGTCTTCTAGGATTGTGAACTTCTCGCAACTTGCTTTACCAATCCCTTATTGCTGAAAACTCGAACTTGAGTTGTATATAAGAACTAAGGATCAACTGTGAACTTATAACTCCTGTTACCATCCAAAATTTACAAATTCTTCACAATAGCCTTGATCAAATTGCTTACCATCACTAGTAATGATACGAGATCCAAAGGAAAATGCTTTAAAAGAAAGACTCAATTAAATATAAGCCCCCCTCTCCACCTTTCCCAAGCGATTGCAAGATCTTCAATTCTTGTACCAGAATTAAAAAGACACAATAGGGTAAGGGATTTTCAACAAGTGAGGAGATAGTAGATACTTCTTTGTTGAGAAAAAAAAAAAAATAGAGAGAGCAAGAGAAGAAAATAAACTAATTTCCTCAATGCGCGAGCGAACAAAGTAGGATATTTTTTTTGATAAATAAACAAAGTAGGATATCCTCAAACTTATATAACAAAATAAACAAATAGTGCAACACAGAATAATAAACATCATTCCAAGCTCTAGGGGCTGTACCTTAACCCAATATTGTGCTTTAGTGAACGAATCAGGATTTGTTATATCATAAACAACAACAGCGACTGCAGCACCTCTGTAATAAAGTGGAGCCAAAGCTGCATACCTAAAGAAGAAACAATTAGAGGTTAATTTCTTTCATAACAAGTCTTCATGGAAAAGAGAAAGAAGGGGGTTCCATCCCAACAGATACTATAATATCATAAAAGGAGTCTCAGATTGTAAAATTGTCTAAAAGAAGATAAAGGGAGGTGCAGGGGATGATTTGGCTAACGATACCTCTCCTGGCCAGCAGTGTCCCATATTTCAAACTTGACTGTTGTAGAATCTTGCAAGGCAATCGTTTGTGACAAGAATGAAGCTCCTACGGTTACCTGAAATCATCAAAAGTCAACAAATATTAGTAAATCTATAATAAACTTGCTTCTAAGGAACCAATGAGAAAATGTAGATGCTCATATCCACTCACATAGGGGGTGCTTGGCCAAAACATGACCCAAAATTAATAAAAAATAAAAATAAAAACAATTGTTACAAAACCACTGTAGAATCTTTATATATTCATACCTTGGATGTTGGGTCAAACTGACCACGAACAAAGCGGAGAACAATGCAGCTTTTTCCAACACCAGAGTCCCCCAATAGAACCAGCTAAATTGATGAAACGAAAATTAGATCTATACATGAGAAAAACAGGAGATCAAAAATGCGATGGTCACACTTTTGGCACAAAAGATACTGATATCAATAAATCCTGTATGTTACATCTCCAATGCCCAAGCCACCCCCTCTCCCTTTTTTAACACACATGTTCACACACCAATTAGAAGTAGAATAAGACTTACTTATCAAAAAAAAAAAAAAAAAAAGTAGAATAAGACTTCAAACCACATTAAACCATATTCTACAACAAACATGGTCTTTGAAATCATCTCAAATTGCACAAGCATACTGGTAGTTGTTAAATAAATTTTGTCTCAAAACTTTGGTGTGGTCATGTAACAAATGATACGATCATTCTCATGATAATTAGGGTGCAGTTTTGGAGTGATACATGGGTTTGTGACAGTGCCGTCCATTCAGAATTCCCTAGGCTCTTTTGGCCACTTTGGCTAAGAATCCACAACAGACCAAGTCAGTTTATTCTGTGGAGAGTATAGTTTGGGAACCCATTTTTTCAGGGCAATTGGGGATCAGAAAATAAACTTGTAATGTTTCCATTTTTCACCATTTTCCATTTTCTAGAATTTTCCCTTTTTGCAAGGGCATTTTCGTCTTTTCTCTTTTTGCGTACCGGACACCGTGGGGTGTGCCGGGTGTGTCCGTGAGTTGGTTGGAGCGTTTCATTGAGTTTAGGACTCCTTGAAATGCAATGGTGGTCATTTTTTCATTTTTCCGTTTTTCGGGCCGAACGGTCCCTTGTGGGGCTCGCTACAGGAATTGTTGCATACGGGGATTTTAGTTGGGTCCATTTGCATCTCATGCATTTTATTTAATGTGTTTATGTGGGTTTTATATGATTGTATACATATATATATTTTTATGGTGCAAAAGAAAAGTCCAAATGGAATTTTTTAAAATTTGTGGTGGAACCCACTTTCCACTAAATTAAATTAGTGGCCAAGAGGCCATTTTGGCCTCCATTCTTCTCTCTCCCCATAATAACTCTCTCTCCTTCATTTTCTCTTCTTTTTCTTTTTCTTTTGGCATCAAGATTTCAAGCTTTGATTCCTCTCCAACCACTTGGAGTTTTTGGGTGCCGTTTGGGGCAAAACGGAGAGCTCGGCGAGATCTTCACATTGATATAAGCAATTCATCATTTGGTGCACTCTAGGGATTTCAAATTTTTGGATCCATTTGGGGGTTTTTGCATCTAAGGGAGGTAGGAGTTTCCTAATTCATGTTGTCTTGCACCTTTGTGAATTAATTCCTATAAATTGTTGCCTAGCATGCTACTTGAGTTGATTTTTTCCTCTAAGTGTTTAAATTGTTGTAAATAAAATGTGTGATTATGTGTTCAATTTGATGCTACTTGAAATCGAATACTTGTATGAGTTAAATTCATGTTTTATACGCCTACCATGCTAGATTATGATTGAATGAAAACATGTTATAATTTCCTTAGAATTTATTGTAAAGCATGATATGTAGTTTAAGCTTGAATTAGTTACAGAATGATGATTATTGGCATGGCATGATACATTCATGCATAACCATTGGGAAGGAAATGGGGATGATTTGATTTGAGATGAAAAAGGGGCTTTGGGAAAAAGTTTTGACAAAGGGGTTTTGAGAAAACTACAATGCCGAGGAGGTACCGAGGGTCCGTGTTGTTAATGTAACCTAGAGGGAACTAGGAAAAACACCCTAGCGTGGTTGAGCTATTTGGGTCCCAAAGGACGCCGCGGGGTTAATAAGGGTCAGGGACAGTAGCCAATCCTTCTCTCGTGTCGCCGAGGAGTCACCGAGAGACGAGTTATGTTAAATGTTTGAAAAGGGAAGTATGGAAGTGATTTTGAAAATGGGGAGTGACATAGCACGGCATTGCATTTCATAGCACCACATTGTTCATCTGGACTTGAAATTGATGTTGTATTTCTCCCGGCATAGCATGATCCTGTTCCCTATTATTCTATTCATTGCTTGAATTCACGGAGTCACAAGAGGTGTGTCTTAGACACCACATACTGAGCAATTTGCTCACCCCTTATATTTAACATTTTTCAGGGCATGGGAAGGAGGTGGCAGATGACAATCCACCACAAGCTTGATGGGGTGCTAGAAGTCCATTTTTGTTATCTTTTGTATCTTTGAGCCATCTTTTTGTAAAAGCTTCAATTTGGAATGTATTTAAGCTAGCTAGCATGGCCTTGCAATTCAACTCTGAGCCTTAGCTCTATTTTGATGTAAAATTGAGCAAATTGTAAAGACTAAGCATTACTTCTATTATGAATAGATTTGTTGATGTTGTACCATATCAAAATGTTGATAATCATAACCATATTATGTAGTTTTGCCATTTAAAGAGTTTTTAGAGCAAGTTTGACGCAGATTGCAAAGTTTCCCATAAGCCTCCATTCATTTGGCAGGTTTACAGCATTTCCAGTAGCAGAACCAGCTCGCATAGCCATTTCGGCCGGCCGAAATGCCTGTTTCGGCCGACCGATTCATCCAAAGACTTCAATTACTGTTCGTGATTATTGGAGATCTGTACCACATTGTATTTGGTGGTGCATCTGGAAGGAGCGAAATACTAGAATGTTTGAAGGGAAGGAGTTGTCTACAGCGGCACTAAAACTTTTTATTATTCGTTCTCTCTTTAGTTATGTGAATAGAAGTTTTTGTTCCTCTTCTGTTGATTTATTTTCTTTTTTGGATTCTTTGGGCCCTTAGACCCAGGTTTCTCTTATGTTTATGGGACGCGTTCCCCTATTGAACGCTTTTTTTAATTTATTATTACTTATCAAAAAAAAAATTATTGTTGAAGTCACAATCGGACGACCGAAGTGCTTGTTTCGGTCGACCGGTACAGAGGAGTTTGCTTCGGCCGACCGAAGTCCCATTTCGGTCGATCGAAGTGCATCTGCTCTCCCCTTTTTGTCCCTTCCTCCGATATAATCTATCCTAAGCCTTGGGAATCTGTTTTTGTGCCATTGTGGAGCGCATTTATGACTTAAGAGTGTTGGTTTGACCCTAGACATGATAGGATTTGACTTAGGTGACCTCGGGTTTGGGTAAGGACCCGGTTAACGGTTCGGACCTACGGGTTCGTGTCGTTACAAAACTCCTCTGATCATTCTTTGATCTATGTTATGCTAATCCTGTTACCAGAGGCAAGGAGGATGTGTTAAAGTGTAACAAAGTTTCTGGCCGAAGTTGGATTTCAAAAGTGTTGAGCGTCACTCCCAAGTGTCCATGGAAAGCTGTCAGCAGAACAGAAGTTCCAAAAAGGCGGCCCTTTATTCTCGGAACTAAATTGGAGAAGATTTAGACAAAAATCATCTAATCTCAATGGGCAAGCTTCAGCCAAATTATATTCAATATCTGAAGAAATCATAAATCACCTTTCAATGTAACACATAATGGAAAAAGATTTGTTATGATTGATAATTGGTACGGATCATTTTTTGGGCTCAACGGATTATGTCTAGTTCATTTGTGAAGCGCCAAGTGACTCGAAGGAGATTTTCTGGGTTACAGAGTGAGAAAGTTGCAATGCCCTCTTTAGACCATTCTTTAAAAGAGAACTATGTGTTTATTGAGAAAGCAAAGTTGTCAAAACATAAGCTTAAGAATATGCAGTAAGTTCCTGTTTATTTTTATTCCCCTTTCTTTTGTCTTGATTTTTCCTTTTTTCCTTTTTTCTTTTAATTCTTTCTTTTCCTTTTTTCTTTGTTTTTTGGGTTGGGGGGAGAGGGAGGATTAAGTTATGCCAACACATTTGTTGATTTCTAGATAATTTGAATAGGAGGTGGAGTTTTGTTTGCCATACCTAATTTCTTTCAAGTGGATTTTTGTAACTCTACATACTTCAGTTGTGAAACCATAGCACTCTTTAGTGCTTTCCCGTTACTATTGGAAAATAAAATATAGTTGAACCAAACACTTCAATGTCTTTCCTTACTACCTAAACCAGTACTGATTTTAGTTTTTACTTTGTTCTACAATCACCTCGTTGTGATTCACATCACTCGACTGAATAATGTGGTTATCAGTTTTCATTTCACATGACAAGCCATCCCATACGTTCTTACAAATTGTTTGATTATTTTTATTTTTATTTTTTTGACTGTTCTATGATTCTGACACAATTAGTTAAGCCAATTAATTAACATAAGATTACTCAATAATTTCTTAAAAAACAAAATGTACAGAGACCGTTCTCTCTCATACAGAGACTGGCAAAAAATAGGTGTAAACCCATCTAGTAAGAATTGACTACAACAAAAGGTCATAGCTCTATCTATAGAATATGAAAACAAATACAAAATGTACCTTCACTCGTAGATTTTTGGCATCAGGAACTCCACCATTCTCCGAATTAAGCCCACCCAACCGCCCAGAGTTCCTATCTGCAAAACCCAACCCCAACAATCAATCAAATATTCAAAATCAGCAACAATTTCCCCAAAAAATTACTGATTCAAAGCTGAATTCCCCAACACCAAAAAAAAAAAAAAAAACCCTCATGCAACGGGCAATTCGACCTCAATTCAATCATTTTCATCTCATAAATTGGAAAAACCAACAAAATACTAAAGATCGGATAAGGGTTTTTAGGAATATCGTTATCCGATTACAGTATTGAACAGTAAATTCCTTTGCAGTTTGGTATTGTTAGTGCAGGTATTACCTGGAAGAGAGGAAGAGCAACCCATGTCCGAGGTGAGACCGTTCGATTCGATATGCGTATATATTCAGATATATATATATATATATATATATATAGGCTATACGTTCGGGTATATATATAAGGGTTTGTTATTGCAGAGACGAAGATGACAAAGATCAGAAGATGAATCGTAGTTTGGAGTCTTTAAACGCGCTCCGAAGAGATACTTTAATTGCTTAACTATACTTAATTGATGGTTGTAGTATATAATTTAGGTACACCTTTTTTAATTATTGTGCCACGTGTCCCCTACTGCAATATTATCTTCTTCTTAACTGACTTTTTAGTTTTTATATTTATATTTTAAAAAAAAAAAATTGACTTTTTATATTAAAGTGTATTAAGTAGTCAGCACCCATTTATTGTTCAGAGTGGAGATCAAACTCTACATTGCCCAATCCACACAATTCTTTTTGTTTTATTATTTTATTAAAATTCATCTCTCTTGTAAAATTTAATTTTTTTACTAGTGCATTTTCTAGCATTCACACTCTTCTGTTGGATGGCAGTGCATTTGAATGTCTATAGATATATACACAATTACACATATATATAATAGAAATTGAATTAAGAGTCATATATAAATATGTATGTGGAAATTAGAAAATGAAATAAAATTACCGAACAATTAGAAAATGAAATAAAACTATATTCGATGACGCTTTTTTTCCCCCTCCATTTATCTATTAATGCAACAATATGGTATATGATGTAGGACAGAGGACAACAGTGACAATACTGTCTCGATCAAATTTCTAACTTATTCCAGTTTTACTACAGAAAAACATGGTTGTTTCCTATTGTGAGGGTTCTTAAATATGTGTCACTATTACAAATGACAGAGGATGATATCTAAATACAAAATATAATAGAGTATCAATCAAAAAGTCTTTTTTCTTTCATGCACCTAGGCTTATATTTATAGTCTCAGACTTTTACCTGAGCCTTAAAGTCCCTCGAGACCCTTATTAGGGTAGTCATCGTGACTCTACAGGCTTTAATAGGGATATTCTGGTCTTCTAGCTTGAGAATAGGTACCATTACATTAAATACACATCTTTTCGAAGGCAGCGGTAGCTGAGACTCATTAATATGATTATCAGTGTTACAGTCGAGGCACGTGGACTCATTATTGTTTTGACTACACCTATGGGTTAGGCGAATTTTACTTGTCGGGACATGTAGTATCATTGGTAATACTAAACTCAAGCCGAACCGAGTGACGTGGGGTGTGCCACGTGGCTCAGTGGGCTACATCCCCTGCACCTATTCTTTATTCAAAAGGATATTAATTATGTTCAAAGAAAGCTAGAAAAAGGAATGGATATATATTTTCTTTTCCAAATGTAATATTCTTTATATATTAACTTATTACATATATCAGTTGCAAACAAATATGAAATAAAATTAAAAAAAATGGACGACTTGCGTCTCCATTTACACATACAAAATATTTTCATGGCTTAGTATCATGGTTTGGTTGAAGAGCACAGTGTTGAACCAAGTGTTTGATAATTTATGTATCTACTAGGTGCAGAAGTGTGCCGGAACCCTTTAGGCAAGCAACTCTTCACATCTCCACCACGACCGTCGTGTTGTCCGTGTCCTAGTTCGGCCGGCTTGAAAGCGACGTAGTCTCGGGGCCTAGACTCCAAAGGCCTCGTGGCAGCAGCAACCCTAGCGGACATGGAGTTTGGTCCGCTCGTGACGATCACCGGAGGGGATAGTAGGAAGAGGAGGAGGAGAGAGAGCATTGCCATGAAGATGGGAGTTACAGACATATTGAGGTTTGGTTTTTGCAAGTGTGTGCGTTTGGAGGTTGAAGAGCAAGAAAAGTGGCTTTAAATAGGGTCATGAGACTCATAAGTTGTATATGTATATTTGTATATGTATATATGACCAGCACATAGTCAACAGCTAGGGTACGGTAGTTAGTTGTGGAGTTGTAGTATTAGCTAGAAGTGAGTTGGATTTTTCACCTTTTGACAAATGCAGGTGAGAATGCTCGTGCACTGCATCACTTTTTCCTGTTTCCTAAGTTTCATTAATTAATTTTTCAAGGTCAAGTTCCTTTAATTATCCACACAATTATTGTAATAATATAATTTTTGCAAATCAATTTTGTATGATGTTAGACCTTTTTTTCCCCAATATGCATTATATATGTTATGAAAATTGATGGACGTAAAATTTTAAGTATGGTAATCTTCAGGTAAATGCCTAGAGTTAATGGATAGAGATTACATTTATGCTATGTTTGGCGTCACCAACTCGGTGCTGTGGATATAAGATTGGAGTAATTTTAATACAAATTTTAAACTAAACTTTCTTCAATTTCAAATTCGAGTCATCTATTCGATGTTCTCAGACATAACATTAGTATAAATGAATAATAATGTTTGGTTCAATAAAATTATGGTTTGAAACAAGATTTTTTTTTTTTAGTTTTGAATAGGTTGTTGATAGATGGTTGTTTTGTACAATTAGTTTATCTAATTTATTTATTACTTACCTGAATTTTAGTCATTTAATTTTTTTTTATTAATTACATTGGATTATGAGTGATTAATAGGCTTAGCAGATGAAAGCTTGGATCTGGTGCCTCACGAAGTATCGAGTCTTTGGGTAAATCATTTTGGTGCCTCAAGAAGTATCGAGTCTCTGAGTAAATCATTTTCGTGAAGATACCTCACATGGGTTAAGTTGTAATATTGCTCGGTGCAAGTGGCTTGTCCGGATATTGTATGTGCCTAAAATGAATTGGTCTCACCTTAAAATGTGGGAATTTTGAGAGAAAAAAAAAAAAATCATCACATAAGGAAAAAAAAAACTTAAATTTATCAAGTTAAATGTCAAAAATTGAACTTTAAAATATTAAAGAGTTATGATATAGTTTTTAGTACTTCAACACTAATTTTTTTTACAAAGGAGTTATCTTCACAAAGTGAGAACCATAAATACAATTAAAAGAGACTGCAAAATAGTAATTTCAAAAAATTTCAATGCTTGATTATAAGCTGTATGAACATTATAGGTATTTAATTTCAGAAACATGAACAAAAGGAAAAGTATAAGTCACTCGTAATCCACGTGGCAGTAAGTAGCTTACCGGTTTGCCCAACCTATGATGCCTCATCATGTACACGTCATTGCCTTCGACCCTTTTCCTGCCCGGACATGTCATAGATTTTCTGTGTTGACATCCAGATGGTGCCACGTGTTACTGTTAAACATGCTTGGATGCTTCTACAAGATATTTCAAGTTGTTCCAACGGTCCAAGATCTAAACAACCACTGTAAATCTAACATTTAATACTTGGTAAAGGTACACGTGTCTTTCTCTGAGATATTTGTATCACAGGTCAACAAAAATTGGTTGAATTATTTAGAGTGTGACCGTGTGACCATGTGATTGGTATAACAGATAATAAATGAAAAAAAAGAAAAAAGAAAAGAAGCAATACTAGTGATGACAGATGAGTGAAATTAAAAAATATTATTATTTTATACTGTGTATGGAAAAAATATATTGGCGAGAAAGAAGAAGAAAATGATTATTGTATTTTGTGAGTAACAAGAGTAATACAGAAATTCACTTATTATAAAAAGAGGTAATTAATAACTCCTCAATTTTAATTATTATTAATTTTTCTTGATAAATTAAAAAAAGAGAACACGAACACATATCCTCGGAGGAAGTGAACACCCCTACTTACTAGGGCAATAAAAAAATAACAACAAAATATATCATTTGTTAACCAAATCAATGGGCCAAGTGTCAATGGGTACAATGGACAAATACAAGTGAAGCTTAAGAAACTTATGTCCACTTAAAATGTTTGAAGGAATAGATTACAGGCCCAGCCCAGCCCAGCCTTGAAATTATAGGAACACGAAGGCTGCAAGGGAAATGGTGGCCCATAATTCAAATTCCATGTTTGTTGGCCAAGCCTTGATTGTTGTTCATGTCCTTTGTTCTGTTGCTTTTTGTTCTTGTCAGGAAAAATTTTAAAAAAAAATTAATAAAATTTCAGGAAGGAGTGAGGGAAGAGAGAAGGAAAAAAATATGTTTCTATAATTCGGAACAGTAAATGGATGAGAGAATGGATGAAACAACTTTTCGAATCCACGCATATTTGCTTACAAGAGGAAAAGGACATTTATTGGTTATAGTTGAAAGGAAAATAATACAACGTTCAAAAGTCAGACATATCCGATTGCATTTACGTGAATGAGGGATGACGTCCAACTATCGAATGTTGTATCACAAATTTAGTTGAAAATACAGTTGTTCTTTGTTTTTTGCTACATAATTTGGGATATGATGGTAAAAAAGAAAAAAATTTCCTCTTCCCTCCTCAATTCCACTCAACTTCATGTTGATTACAGATTCCCATTCCTATCATTTGGCTTCCACTTTAGTTGATTTCTAAAGAAAGACAGGACACCCATGGTTCACAGTATCGGTCACAATCACTAATAGACTCGGACAAAGTCAATGTAAACTGACTGATACGAATTGCATATCGAATTTGAAGAAAGGGTTATATATCGGCCGATACGGTGAACCACGAGGGCACATCTCCTTTCTTCTTTCTCAAAGCCCAGAATAAGTCCTGAAGCAAAACTTGAAGTAAGATTTTGGAAAATTAACTCAGATTCATAGACTTTAAATCTTACTTACAATAAATACATAAAAATTTGTCACCATCCGTTTCTCTCGGTATTCACAATTTTGTTCAAAATACGTTCACAAGTGTCAACAATCTAAAAGTCACAAACTTTTCCTCTAGGCCATGTTGGACGTGTAAGGTGATGGGTTGTTTATAGCTTACACGATCCTTGGCCCAATATAAAGATACAAGCTAATACTATTTGTCCACTGGCCCATCAAAACTAATGTATGAGTCCTAAACATTACACCTCCTAAGAAATTAAATAAATTCTTTGGCTTTAAAAAATAATACTGTAATAATAAGAAAAAGAAATCAAATCTTAAAGCTTATGTACTTTGAGTTTAATAGTGTATTTAGTGAGTGATCATCAATCCCTCTCTCCTCTCTCTCCATGTGCAAGCGCACCAACACTATGTGTCTATGTGAGAATCAAATGGCGGTTAGTACAAGTACAATTATCACTATTAAAGTAAACATTTAACATAAGCAAACAAACCCT